ACGCATTCTTCTTTAGCCCCCCCACTCGAAAACGTACTGCGCGGTCCCTGACTTTAAATTCATGGCATGGCCATCTATTTTGGAAATGCCAAAAGACCAAAAATTTTTGGGATAATTTCTCAATATGGCTTCAGTCGTGCCAGATCCTCCAACCAGGCAGTTACTTAGACATGACTACCGCTTTGGGCCTAATGCCAGACAGCACTTCCTTTAAGCTCCAGATAAACTTCTGTTGTCTTATAGCTACGAACTTTATCTGGATATGCAGATCAAAAGAATGTTTCCCAATTCACAACAATTTCTTGTTTTATCTGAGACATATATACCAATTAGAAAATAAGACCCCGCGCAAAAAAATGGAAACCTTTCTTTTCCTCGCTGGGTCTTGTCTCCTAACTCCAAAAACATAAATTAGTAAATGTGCACCTACCATGAGTATTTATATTACTTTCACCACAAAGAAAGAAAAAAAAAATGTAAAAATTAATTATAGATCATACTAAGTACAGTAATATATGGAATTAGCACTGCTGTAACATATTTTAATATTTCTAAGTATATTGCCATGTAAGTGTGTAAATTCGCTATTTGTTTTTGTTTTTTCTTTTTATTACGTTATTTATTCTGTTTAATTTTTGTTTCTTTTCTGTGTGTGTTTTACTTGCAATAATAAAAAAAAATTAAAAAAAAAAAAATTTCATGGCATGGCTGGAAGCGTAAATGTTCTCTTCCAACTTGTATATTTGTTCATATTGGTTCACGTTATGTCATATATTTTTCAAAAAAGTACCAAGTTTTATATTCATGGGGCATACTAGAGGTATACTAAGGGAGCTAGACTCTCCAGCAAAACATGTTACAACAAAGATTGCTTACTCAGATCGATCGGTTAGGATTTTTTGGAGCAACTCCTTAGTTGTCAGTATGAATCACAAGACTTTCACAGCCAAGCCACAAAGTGCAATTAGCGTTGAAAACCAAGCGAAATTAGAACCAAAAGCGATCTCTCCAACTTGAAAGCCACAGTTGGTGTACTGTGCATACTGTAGGAAGAGTGCCAGCTGGGAGCGGTTGCAGAATAGGTGTCCTGTGGGCCAGTCTTCATCTGTTGTCATGTTAAGTTCCCTAAGCATTCGATTACACTGCGTTGTTACAGATGCAGCACAGTAGCTTGGGTATACAAATACAAAAAGGTGTAGCAGACTCGTAAGGAGATGCTTGTACAGGCTGTACCAATCTATGGCTTCCTGAAAAAAAGATACCATGCTTGCAACATAAATGACAGTCGTTATAGCAAGCATAAACCAGTGAGTTACAAACCAGACCTTCAAGGACTCGGATGTGCTTGACATCTGTTTGCAAAGACGTTTATGAATACGTATGATGTCATCTAGGCTGTGATCAGTGGCGTGTTGAATTTCTGCTTTGCACCGTGTCACGCAATGTTTCATTGCGTTAGTTATTATCACAAATATCCAAGAAGTGGTGAGGATAGCCCACGCAGGTATAATTCTAAAGGAAACTGCTATTTTTATGAGATAATTTGATTCCTTGAAGGTGAAATTGAACCAAAATATTTTTGTAAGAAGACAAATGCAAAAAATTAACATCGTTAAATTTAGCGTCACCCAGGTAGAGCGCCCCGCTGCAGAGAAAGCTTTTTCTAAAGTCACGCAATGAACTGTCCTTTGTGGCAATTTCCACATGCACCAAAAGAATGTTGCGTTTGACATCAGTACAGCGGAGTATAAAACCAACGTCAGAATGCCAAGAGGGTCAGCTCCAAGCAAAACATTCCGTAAACTTGCAGACGATGAATTTGTTGAGGATATATTTCCACAAATCAAAGAGTTCAGGGGAGTTTCAAACGAGTGGCAGATAAAAGTATAATAAACAGAGTTAAAAACGTAACATATATCCAAAAGCAAAAGGATTATTGCCATTATAGCGCGGAGTCCTTTGCTGGGATTCGAGAAGCCCACGGCGAACGCAGATCCTTTCAAAAACACACCAGAGCAAACGATGAGTTTTAATCCGCGCAGAATGTTGAAAATTGTAGAAGGGGATCTTTGAGACGAGGAATGATTCATCGGCTTACCCGAAGAGGGTAATTCATCAAATTCCTCGCTTTTCCAGCTTTCTTCCTCCATTGAAAAGACGGAGAGGTCTGCGATCAGTGTCGTGCTTGCAAGTCACGCAATCATTTTTCTTCCCAGCAATCTTAGCTTCCCTGGATGGCAACGCGGAATGTACATAAAATGGCGGATACTTTGAACCGCCGGAAAAAATCGTCATCCGTTTTGCGTTTTCTTGCCTCGATGAAACCTCTTTGAGCTGGCCGATCATCTCAGTTGTGCAGTGATGGATTTTTGTTAATTGGATTATTCAACTGATCCGACAATTCAGTAGTGACAATATCATCGGCTGCTAACTGTTGGAATTTTCTAGCAGATTGAAATATCTGCATCGTTTATGATCAACGAAACGGAAGACTAGAAAGAGGCAAAACTGCTGAGTATCTAGGGAAGTAAGGAAGAATTTGGATCAGCCTGGACTAATTAATCCGGATTAATCAATTTGTTGATTGTTGAATTTTGGAAGTTGTTCTGACAGCCCGGTGCAGTAAGAGAACTACAGTACACTCAAACTTGTTAACGACAACACTATTCTTTTTTCTTGCAATCAGAGTTGCACTGTTGGATTGCACATGTTACATCACTACCACTTTCTGAGGATTATCTACACAGTGTAACTATTTGGAAGAAAATTCTTTAAGCCATAAGTCTTAGTTAACACATTTATGTTGGAGCTGAGGTAAACAAATTGTTTCAAGCAAGCAACTTAACATCAAGCATGCCCAGGCCACAGTTTCAAGGAGGTTTCTCCGACACTGACTCTGCCGTTACAGAAAATGATGAAGGTGGTGAAGAGTCTGAAATACCGATAGCAAATCAAGTAGAAGAACCTTGTGAGGAATTTGAAGACAAAACCAGGTAACTAATTAATGCCCTGTGTGTGTTTCAAGTAAATACTTAATAATAATGGAAATCCATGGCAAATAGCTTACTACTCTGCAGAGCATGGCAAAATTCAAGGAAATCTCTTGAATGTAGGGCTATTGTTAGCTGTGTGCACTGAGATTTGCTGCCAGCCTGAAACTCACACAGCCCTGCACACTGCACTTGAATCAACTGGTTGCAAGTGCCAACCGTTTTCTAAGGGTCTTGAAGGGTACGTATTCCCAGGATCTTGGCTAAAATGGAGGATGTCCCTAACAGCTGGCTGCTGGTTATTTCACCGACTGAAAAAGAGCTTACTGCTGGCTCAAATTACTGTGGGAAACAAGGACATGGCCATAGGGAAATTGTGAAGGTGAAGTTGAGTAAAATAGCCAGCTTGACTGATAAAAAAGCCTGCTCAGCATTTCAAAATACAGAGCAGGGGCCCATTTCTCGAAAGTCCCTGATAATTAATGGGCCTGGTAAGCTGTCTCCGTTTACGTTAAAGATTGAGGTTTCAATAGTTTTGCATCTAACATGATAAAACTATCAGTTAATGGAACAAAATGGAGTAGTTTGTAGACAGGACAGGCATTCTTATTCTTTATATTTTGATTTGAATTTTTGGTTTCGGGCCCGAAAAGTTACCGGGACTTTCGAGAAACAGGCCCCAGGATTCAGGAAATGTTAACAGAATACAGGTGCGGCTGCTACCTGGAAAGTGAGTTTTGTCAAAAACATTTGGGCAAGGATGTGTGACTGGGAAAGAAAGTTATATGTGGGAAGGTGATGACAAAAGCTTGGGATGTAGGATTCTTGTGAAAAAGGGGTTGTGGAATGCGACCCCTTCCCTGCAGTGAGTGCAGGGGTTTCAAAAAGCACTGATGGCCGACAAAAGGCATTGGCTACTTTGCTCATAGAGGTCGGCTACTTTTTTATGGGAAGAAGAAGCAACTAGTTTGAATAACTAAAATAAAAAATATATCATTTTTGTGAGCAAGGCAAATGGACCTTTTCCCGTAAACCTGGGTATGTTGTGGTTGTTGTGGGCATGCTTCCTGTCCATTCACACAAACCACCTGTGTGGAAATCTTGTGCATAAACATAAAACCGTAAACTTTGTCGTGGTGGAAGAACTTAACCTGCTACAGGGTATATCCAAATCAACTGAACAGACAGAAAAGAGTAAAAAAATTGCGTCACCTGAAGTCACAGCCCACATTTTCTGAAGCTTTCCAAACGGATTGGCGTTAACCATTTGATTTTATAACAAGAACACAGTTCTTGTTGCACAAACAGCAGTGAACACCCTGCACTTTGCGGGTGGATTTCGGATGTGTGATTGGACAGGAATAACATTCCTGACTTATTTCAGGTGTTCACGGTTTTCCCTGTTGCGCTGTAACATTTTGTTCTTTGTTCCCTTTGCAGCATTATCAAATGGAGTGGTCCCAACAAGAAATATCCCCAGATACATTTCTCTCCACATGTGCTTTTGTTGGCTTTGCCTCCTGAGTCAAAAACAGAAGCAGGTGAGAAAAATATATTAATAATATCTATTAACTTATATAGCAGTAATATCTATTTACACATTATATGTATTAAAAATATTTTAAAGTGTTGTGGCATTTATGTCATCTTTAAAAGATGACATAACTTTTAATACTGCAAGAGTATTTTCAAATAGTTGTCAACTTTTATGTAAAACAATTTGACTCATCAATATTGTCTCTTCAGGGCATGTTTAGGGCAGTTGGTTTGCGTTTGTGTTTTATATTGTTTACAAGTTATATTGCTCTGTAGAGTGTTGGGGGGGGGGAGGGGGGAGTGCAAGACATCACATGCAAGTGCAATCTAAGGAATTGTAAGGAGGACATGTAAAGGAACTTGCTAAGTGGTTGGTAACATTCAGGAACAACTTACAGTCACTGTATTAAAAACTTACCATGCCTTTGTTTCTTGTGTACGAGCAATCTGCAATCTCTTTCTATAGTTTGAAAGATAGTAAGAGTTGTTAGTTTTTTTTTCCACAGAAAAATATCATCTGACCTACAAGTTTGTGAAGACTGAGTGTAAACTTGTGCGAAGCATGTTGGGTGTCCACTGCTTTAGGGAGGTAAATAATGTTAGGTGCATAAATGGAAATTTGTTTTTAATCTTGGTGCTTGATGGGGTTTTTTAGCCACTGAGTCAAGCTCCAAAAATGTGAGATAATAAAATAATATTGCAGTTAGGTTTTAGAGTTGGAGTTTGGGGTCTCACTTCCTAATCACATTGTATTCTTAACTAAGACATTTTACATATAATATTGTTACATAACTGGGCAAGTATTAAGCATCTTGTTTTCCAATATTTTGTTGCGTTTGTATTTCTTGAAGTGTTGTCTAGTGTAATTTATCCACTGATGTTCACATGTCTCACATTGTGTCTCAAAGTGTTGTGAAAAGTCAAGCTTGAGTTTGCAACCCTTGCTGCAACAAGAATATTTCAAAACATTAAAAACAAAATAAATAAATATGCATTTCACCCTATATTGTTGTCCTCCCTTGACACAATGCCGAGAGTGTCAATTCCATGCAAAGCATTCTGCAAACTTGCGGATGATGAATTTGTAGAGGATGTATTTCCACAAAACCAAGAGTTCAAGGATGTTTGAAATGTGTGGCAGATGAAAGTGTAATAAACAGAGTCAACAACGTAACATACCGTAAAATTCCGAAAATAAGCCCCTCCATGTATTAGCCCCTCCAAATATAAGTCCGGGCCCCAAACCGGTAACGCAAAAAACCCTCCGTTAAATTGCCCCTCCAAATATAAGCCCTCCAGGCAGGAGCTTGTACTTGGAAATTGCCCTCAAATACAAAGTAAAACAAACCAAAAACGGTAGATTTCCTTCCAACTATAAGGCTAGCCAAATCGATTTTGAAATGCAAATTTCCCTCTGTATATTAGCCCCTCCAAAAATAAGCCCCCCTCAAAAAAGGGCCTTTGAAAAATATAAGCCCCAGGGCTTATTTTCGGAATTTTACGGTATATCCAAAAGCAAAAGGATTACTGCCATTATAGCGCAGAGTCCTTTGCTGGGATTTCAGACACCCATGGCAAACGCCGATCCTTTCAAAAACACGCCAGAGCAAACAATATATTTTAATGCACGTAGAATGTTGAAAATCACCCTATATTGTTGTCTTCCGTTGAATCTTCAACATTTAACGTATGACCTGCATCTTTGAGGTTTTTCTCTTCTTCCATGTTTTAAGTATTAAAATAATGTCACTTAATCTTCTTTAAATCTGGGGTGAAATGCTGTTGCCATGTTGCCATTGCAGCTTTAGTCAGGAGTGTTTCTTTTACTATTTCCTCTTTATAGGTACACCCAAACAGTTCAAACTTTAACCTGATGTGGACAGGCTCACATATCAAACCTCATACTCTAAGAGGCTTGCAGGATTTCCAGAAGATTAATCATTTCCCAAGGTAACAATGGTTTGTGTGTGTAGTATGGCAGTTATGTTATAAAATCATGAGGACAGCTTAATTTCGTGTGATTTGTTCCAGATCTTATGAGCTTACTAGGAAGGATAAGTTGTACAAGAACATTCAAAGAATGCAGCATTCCAAGGTACGTAATCTCTACTTTTGGATTACTGAAAATTAATCATATAATAAAAATAAAAATGCTCTTTTTCATCAAAGCATATCAGCGACCTGTTATTATTTACATTTACTAACATCATAACTAGCATCATAACTCTTTGTTACTTCTTAATTGATAATTAGATTTACCTTTCGTCCCAAAACTTGGTATCTTTTCTTGTATCTTGTCCTTTGACAAGAGATTGCACGATGTAGCACTATGCATTTCATTTTTGTGAATTTTCTTGACCCTGCCTGATTTGGCTTTTTCCTTGCAACACAATTCAAGAAATATTTCTGCTGTTCCGAGTTTCACAGTTTACTTTTGTTTTAGACTACTAAGTTACTTATAATATAGTTTTTCCAGACTCTGCAGACACAACACAACAGCTAATACTAGGGATTTTTAGTTAGTGTTGGCTTGACATTTCTCACTGAACATCAAGTGGTAGTCCATTCATGTCAGCTCTCTAAGATTGTTCATTGTACCTTTCCTTTAGGGTGTGAAACATTTTGATTTTATTCCTGAAAGTTACATAATACCGGAAGAGTTTAATGAGTTTCATGGTAAGTGACTCAGGCATTGGCTGGTAAGCAGTTAATTCCAGTTTCATATAATGTACTTTAAATATACATCGTACTAAACAGCTACTACTAGCAGTGCTGGTGGCCCCTTGCACCTTACTTTTGCTCTTGGGTGACAGGCAAATGTTATTCATAGAAATCATATGTTGAGCACCCTGAATTTCACAGGGTCAGAGCACTGGGCTCCCTTCAATTTTTCTTAGACCACAGCCTTGCTAAAATGGAAAACCCTGTTCATCATTTCTGCGAGGCTTTTTTCTGTAAGGAATCGAATAATTGAGTCTACATCATGAACATGTACATGTACTTGCCTGGGAATGTAAAAATCCTTTTTAATAGCAAGTTTAAGGCAAGCTCTAGGTTATATGCCACATTATTAGAAGCCAGAATGTTGTCGTATTGAAGGAATACAATATCTTGTTAAAACTGTGGAAAGTTTTGAACCCAGGACTCATTTCATAAGTAGGTGGAGCATGATCATTCATTACAAGTGATTGTAGTCCTGGCCCCGGTTGTTCAAACGTTGGAAAGCGCTATCCAACGGGTAAATCACTATCCAGCGGATAAGTATTAGGGAAACTAATTGCACTATCCGCTGGTTAGAGATTTATCCCGTAAATAGTGCTATCCATCTTTTGAACAACCGAGGCCTAGATAGGACTGTTGTTAACAGTGACTGACATTTCAGCAACCTGTAATAGTCATCTTCAGAGTCAAAGTGAGTTCTATCACGTCAGTTGATAGCATTACAAAAGCTGATGTTTAATTTAGTTTTCTTGCTCTGTTTTTCGTCATGTTATTTTTGTGTTTAATTCCAGCTGCATTTCTAAAGGACCGAAAACCATGGATTGTTAAGCCTGTCGCTTCGTCACGTGGCAGAGGAATTTATCTTGTCAGTCATGTTAGTAGTTTAAGTGTTTCTCTGGTAATAATTGTTATTCAAATGGTTTGACTTGCATCTTAACAATTTCAGACAGTCTATTAGCCACAACCATTATCTTCTGATTTGTAATATAATCATTTATTATATATTAACCACCAATGAAATACCAGGTGAGCTGTCGTGCACAAACATGATATCTTAACACATGAAAATGACATGTTATCTTCCCACTAAAAGAAAAAAATATCACTGTTGCTATGGCTACGTGATGAATCGTGCTTTCACAGCAAACAAAAGTGTTGAAGTTAAATGGTTTGGTCTTTCATTGGTGTTTATGTCAGGGGCACCCAACGAGGATATAGTTCAAAACCACTTAACATAGCATTGTTGAATGTATTTTAGTATTCAAACCGTAGATATAGGCATATTTTTATCCCCTAAAAACTTTTCATCTGTTCAGATTTCCTAGCTGAAAGTCTAGTGATCCGAAAATTATAGGGATCAAAACTTACCTTCTCGAAAATTTCAGCCAGGAAAAGGCTCGCGAAAATTCTAGGTGGCCTTTTTTAGGGTCAAAATCCGTTAAAAATGGGTACATATACCATTTTGTAGATGTTCGAAAATCCTAGGAGAGGTAGGCAAGCAAGAAATTTTACAACAAATGCTCCGAAAATTCTAGATCTCAAATCGTCTTCCGAACAGATATTTTCCCGAAAATTGCCGTTGGGTGCCCCTGTTATGTATGGCTAAATGTAATTTTGGCGAGGTTAAACATGAGACAATGCTGGCCAGTGGTGTCCACCACTAATCATATGTGGGGCAGTCTTGGGATTTAGCGGGGCCTTAGTGATTTTACAGCACTGTCGTAGAAGTCAATCATTTTGCTCATGTTGCTTTTGCTTGCAGTAGTTCTAGTTGTTTTTTGCCCCCAACCCTCCCTCCTCTCTGGATACTTTTTTTGGTAAGTATCTGCGCCTGTTTACACTGACGGTGCCTGGTGGGTGCTGCTCACAGGGTTGACATGGTTACCTTCTAGGCTTGCTTGCGGCCCCCTTCTGTTTCATCAGGCACCTTCCCCACACCCATCTATTGTGGATGGGTTTAAATGATAATTAAAAAGCTCATTAATAATTCATAAAGAAAAAACAAAAGAATTTAATGTTTAATGAGTGTGTTTATATCTGATTAAAGACATGGCTAAACTTATGGACCAACTTTTTTAGACCAAAATAACCCGAAATCTAAATATTAGTGCAAGAATTAGTTTATCTACATCGGAGATTCTGAAGCGATTCAAAAAACTCGCTGTCATGTATTATCAGGTGTAAAAACTCTTGGCTTTGCCTCGATAAACCTGATAATACACTCCTGCTGGTTTTTTAAACAATACATAGAACATTACATGGCTGCTTGGAGATAGAAAAAAATTCAAAAATATTTGACTCAGTCACTGCACTCGCTTGTAAAAGATTTTTCAACACTTGGAAAGAAATTTCATTTCTCTGCCCAGCCATGTAATATCCTCTATTTATCCAGAATAGTGTGGCACAATCTGTGTATATGATGTTAGATATCATGTCTCTTGCATCCTGCAAAAACTGTATGCCATGTTGTACAATGTTTAGGCTTGATTTTGATCTTTGTACAGCCAAGTCAAGTTCCTCTTGATGACAACCTTTTAGTGTGCAAGTATATCAGCAATCCATTACTTGTTGATGGTGAGTAAACTAACAGAATGTGTAATGTAACAAATATCTCTTTTAGTATCATATTTGGAGCATTTGACTACATGTAAATCACTGGATTTCATTTTCACTTGTACTTACTGTGTATTTAGGTGTAGTAAATGATTTAAAATTTAAATGATTTCTTGCCCTTAAAATTAATTAACATCTTTTGTAAAAGTGAAGTTGTTAGCTCCACCTTAACCACTTACACGTAATTGCTGGCCCAGTTTTTTATTTTTCTTGTCTTGGGCCCACAAATTGAAAACTTTAAAATTCCAAACTCCAAAGAGTTTTAGTGAGTCAGGAACCTCAGAGTTTTGTGCAAAAACTACCATTTCTTTGTCACCCAAAAACAAGAGAATGGGAGCTTGCCATTAGTTTGAACTGGACCAGGCAAGACTAGTCCAGTCATAAATTAAGAGAATTCCTCTAATCATAACTGTATAGCCAGTCAGTGTATTCCTAACTGATATGACCAGCAGTGATGGCGATTTTGGGACAATTTTGAGAAATGTTAAAAATGACCAGTCTGACAGCCACCTCTGACTTCCCATTGCCCACCGGTGTCTACCAGAGAACAGCCATTAGAACTGTTTTAAAAAATGTTTTTGTCATTAATTAAAACAGGTTTCAAGTTTGACCTCAGGCTGTATGTAGGTGTGACATGTTTTGATCCTGTCAGGATTTACCTTTATGAAGAGGGTTTGACAAGGTTAGTAGCTGGTATAAGTGATGAACAGATTATTGTCTTTAAGGTGCTATGTCCCGAGAATATTGCTGCTTTAGGTCAATTCTGTGCTAAAGTCATTACTTAGTACAACAACTTTGTAGTCCACTTGATGTGTGTATTCTTCATGGTATGTCAGGAAGATGTCGCAGTTAATGTTTGAGTTCAGTTATTTTTTGTTTTCCCTTTGTTTCAAGGTTCATTAGCATACATTTCCATACTCAAAAACAATGGAAAAATAAAAATTAACTGATATAAAAAATTAGCTTCAACCTAGATATTAATACCTTCTGGTTGTTTTGTTTGCTGTAAACCCTTCTTGCAGGTTTGCCACTGTAAAATATGACAAGTCTGGTAAAAACATCAAGAATGTATGTATGCATTTGACCAACTACAGCGTCAACAAGAAAAATGCAGACTTTGTAAGGTATGTACTGAATGACAAACACAGAGTATATATCAGTCCAAGCTAAATCTCTCTTGAGTGAACTGTGAGTGCCCCCACCCGCCCTCCACATCTCATGGTCGATGAGCCTCAAGGAGGAGGTACTCTAAACTAAAAAGTATATAGGTGTGCTCTGCTATGAAAACTGTCAATAAAGGGCCTAACTGTATTTCCTGCATCTGGATGCTTTGTGACTGAACAAATTTTACTTTTCCACGTTCATTTCTAGGTGCCCTGATCCTGAAGTGGAGGATTATGGGAACAAGTGGAGTATGAGCGCCATGTTGAGATATCTGAGACAGATTGGCAAGGACACAACAGGTATTCTTACATGAGGAACAAACCTGGATTTTTAGATGAAGGAGATTGCCTACAGTAGCTTTATTTCATGTCTAAAACAGCTTTTCATGACTTCAAAGTAAAAATAAACTTTTGATTGGACCGTAAAAATAGGAACTGTAAACGTTAGACGTTATTTTGGAAATTGCTCCATTATTCACTAAATTTTCTCTGTTTAACATTTTAATACAGCTTTGATGATGAGAATAGAAGATGTAGTTGTAAAGACAATTCTAGCCGGCGAGCTGCACATCGCGTCTGCTTGTAAGATGTTCATGCCTTACCCGGGAAATTGCTTTGGTAAGTTCAACTGGCTAGCTTCTGCTTGGTTAAGACTGTTACTGTCTTGAATTTTATTGTTATCATTGTAATTGTTAAGATTTATCAGTCTTTGTGCTTCTTAACCTGTGAACAGCGTCTCCTGTCATGTCTTGTGGGGTTGTGGGACACAGCGAAGAGAATTCGAGAAATTGCAAGAAGATGGAAGGGAATGGGAATGGGAAGATCACCCGCTTCTCTCCATTTCTCTTCAAATCACGTTTCTTCTGAATCCTGCTCGCAGCCTTTCTGAGGGCTGAGGTTACGTTGTCATGACGACAGTGCCAGGAAATTGTTTTTAGGGAGTTTAAGCAAAGGCTTTTTTGAGCGACGAACGCCAACCGGTAGTGGACTTTTCGCATTCTTGGGAAGTGGTTTCACTCAAATTTTCGGGCAGTCGTCTCTATAAGAGTAAAGACACCTAGCAATACAAACTTAGTATAGTCAAGCCGGATATCAAAAGGGAAAGACATTACTTCCGGTTGACGTGCGACGCTCGTAAATAGCTTTGCTTAAGCGCCATAGTGAAAAAGACTGTGAATTTGTGTAGTATTTCCGATTCGTTGAGAAGAAGTACAGGTTATCACTTCCTTCGTCTTCAGTGCACACTGACAGTAGGAAACTTTGTGGCATTTTTGTTAGCTATTACAAGTGTAAGAGATCCATCATGTACCGGTAACTGCGTTGACTTGCATACGAGAGCTAGCCATCTCTTGGTAACGGATTCATAATATACTTTGAAATCGCTTCAAAACATTCGAATGTCTTGACCTACCGCGAATGAATGGTTTTGTTTCAGTTTTCGGTTGATTTACAATTAATCTATCACAATCGAGGCCGGTTTAATTAGAAAACATTCTGTAGGCTCTTTTGTTTTTCTCACCTGAAATGAGCGGAAAGATTTCAGTATAGGTTGAAGACTGTTGCTACAAAGGAGGAGAAAGACGAAACGTTTAGAGACGAAGTTGGGACAATTTTCAGGGGTGACTGGTTACTTTGTGCCTCGTATTAAGCTATAGTAGTCATTAACACAAGCTCGTTTGTCTTTTTCGATAGAAATATATGGATTCGACATTCTTGTTGACGAGAATCTGCGTCCATGGCTGCTAGAAGTCAACTTATCTCCTTCACTTGCTTGGTAAGGCTACAGTAAGACTACTGCCTGATCACTCGTAAACTTTTTGCGATGTCTTTCCTTGGAAAATATATATATTTCGAGTGTTTGGACGCTTAGTAGGCTTTTGACGCGTATTAGAGACCTTTAGGTTCAAAGACGAAGACAATTACAAGAACCGAGATTTTCTCAATACTAAGGAATGCGTGCGTGAAGCAGCGTTTTTTTTGGCGGAAAGCGCGATAGCTGTGGCCATTCTACTACGGGTTTTCGTAGCAGAAACAAGTATCAAATGTTAGAAGTTTTATCGTTTTATGATCTGGAGAGGGCTTAACCTCTTTCAATAAAAACAACAGCGCTAACTCTTCTGGTAAAAAAAAGTACAATGGAGATTTTTGTGAGAATATGCGAAAAAATCAAATCTTGTCCACGTGGTCGGCGTTCCCGTTCTCGAATCTCAAGTCTGTAATTTCCATCATCAACAACAGTCTAAAAGTCTGCACTGTTTTCATTGTCTCCTCATATTTTCCCCTTTATCCACGACACGTATTTTAATTTGCCTATTGTGTTTAGTGACTCTCCGCTGGATCTCAAGATCAAGTCTCATCTGGTCTCCGACATGTTCAATTTAACAGGTAAGTGGCTGACAACTGCAGAACAATATTTTGTACACCTCTGAACACTGAGCTACAGTTGAACACAGACAGAGTCTCAGTTACGTGCCCATGTTATTGGGCTTGGGTTTGCATGAAGTGTAGTACTCTTTAGGACCAACGGAAGCGTCTTTCGGTTTCCGGTTTACAGAGGTTGGGATTTTATGAATTTGGTAACTTTAGGACCAAGAGATGTGTCGGTATTTACCTCTGCAATAATGCTAATACTTTTTTTGCAGGTTTTATGGCTCATGATCCGATGGTTCGGAAGCTTCCCACCCGGCGAGTTATCGATTATTCGACACGGAATCGATATCAGGTAACCTTCAACAACTGCCAAGATGGCTGATAAACCGTAGCAACACAAAACAGTTTCAATAACTGGATCAGTTAGTCAGTAAACTTCATCAATCAATCAATCGACCAATTAATAAATCAAACAACCAATCAATCAGTCAGTAAACTGATTCGAATCCAACAGACGGAATTGATTTGGAGTCTGTATAAACCTTGAATTCTTATTAGATAGCTCTTCTCCACAGAAGTATTCACATTAAGATTTTATACATTTTTCACGTTGAAGCTTTTCGTTTAAAGTTTTGCGTTTAGACAAGTCACGATGAAAATTCTATAGCAGCATTTAAAACACAACGCTTTATAAGGATCTTGGTTAAGCAAAGGTATTCCAGGGGTGATTTCTATATCATTTTAAAAGAACTATTTCCTCAAGTAGTCGTCAGTTTGTCAGCCAACAATAAGGTTAAGAAATCAAAAGAAACTTTTCGCGTTTTTAGATTAAAAATATTCCTTATTTAGAAAGCTCCCTGCTTGATTCACCAATCAGAATGCTGAAAAGTGAATCATTTCACTAATAGGTGACCTGTGCTATATCTTAAGCTCGCAATCTTCCTTTTTTTGTTCTGTTCGTTCGCTAGGCTGGGTGTCTCGATGCGCCCGCGGTACTTTCCACCCGACGGCTGGGCCCACGGGCTTAGCTATTGTGAAAATTGACCAATCAGATACTAGCCCGTATGTTTTATGCATTTTAATTACCCTGTGAACATCATGACGTCATGGACAAGAAACTAAGCCCGTGCCGCAGCCATCGGTTGGGAAGTACCGCGGGCACATCAAGACACTCACGACCATTTGTTCAGCAAAAAAACTTAAACCCCCCGCGTATCTCTCAGTTCTTTGTCTTGTTTGCCTACTTGCGTATTCATTTCTCTGTCATTCGATAATCAGTCTTTACGCTTCTACTTTTTTTCAGCGGCAGCGGTCCGCCACAGCTAGTGGTGTTTTATCTTCAAACTCCAGACCACTATCATCAGTGGCAAGGAAAAGAAATGGTGATAACCTGACAGCAGAAGAGGCGAGAGTATTACGTCAAACCCGGGAGGAATACTCCCGAAGAGGAGGATTTGTACGAGTATTTCCCACACCAGATTCCTGGGAGCTTTATGGGTAAGGATCCAAACTCAGTGGACCTTTTGTAGTAGAGCTGTTGACAGTAGAGTGCCGAAAACCAGAATCAATACCTAAATAATTTAGCCAATCAAAATACGCAGAATTTCAAACGAACAATCAGATCTCAACGCAAAGTCATGTAGGCTGGTTTCAAGCGCGGGAAAACGAGTATGAGCAAGTCACGAGCCCTGATTGGCTTAGAATGTGGCGCGAGTGTTGACCAAACATAGAGCAAAGTAACACGAAACCAAAGTAATCTCCAAATTGCTTTTCAATTCAATTGAAAACTAACTAAAAAACAAGCTAAATAAAGTGTGGTTAGTTACGTTTTTTTGTGATAAACGAGAACCGTGTAAGTCGTTGATACAGTAATAATTTACCTGTTATTCCTCTTTTTACTTAGGTCATTCTTGGAACACCAAACGACCCATAATTACTTGCTGCACTCAAAGCTATTTCCAGGAAGGTAAAATCTGCTGTTATTTTGACAGGAAAGACATTCTTTGTTGTAGTTCTAAATGCAGGGACATGCTTTACCTTGTTCAGTTTCATCTCACATCGTGGTTACTCTTCTTTTTCTTGCTGATGTATAAAGCGCATGACCATCTTTTAGTTGCGAGAATTTGCTGTCCTCAATAATTCTTTTGTTGGTTTCTCGTTTCACTGCTCGTTAAAGAGTTCATTGTAGGGACGGAAAGAGGAGTAGAGACCAAATTATAGTCATAGTCAACGTTTAATTCTTAGATAGCACGTTATTTTTTTTTCTTTTGGGATTCTTTCCACAGGAAAATATCCTTTCAACGGCCCAGTACAGCGAGTTTCTCCTCAGCGAGTGCGCGAGCAAGGTAAATGAAAGACGCTTATTCGATTTAACATACGTGACTTTCAAGGAAGTAATTGTGGTATTCTATCGCTGGTCTTTTTCTTTTGTCAGGAATATCATGACGTATGGAGCATCGCAATCAAAGGTTACTCTTTCGGTGGAACCCACGGAGGTGAAAATGTGTTTACATTCTTTCGCGCTTGTAGAGTACCCCATATGTAAACAGCGCATTACCTGAGGCGGCTCAGAACTGAATGTTTGACGGAATTTTATTGATTTTGTAGCTCTGTTGTGTCATTTTCTTTCAATATCGTGGTTTTTGTGCAGGATTATACAATATGGCTGAAAATCGATTTCTGAGTACTGTGCAAAGGAAATATCTGCGGCTTGCTCTTGTTATGTGTAAAGCTTGATTGCTTTGAGATTATTTCCTGTGAACTACTTTCATTTTGGAAAAGAGGAAGAAAAATTAAAGATCCAATGCGTGATCACTTTTCTCTACAAACGTTTCGAATGTGACGGTCCTAATTAACAGAGAACGGTAGAGTTATGTACCAAAATGTCAAACGTAGGTTAAGAGACTTTATGTTCGCTCATATTTTGTGTCGTTCCAGTGTCGTACCTTAAATGCGCCTTTTTTTTGTTTTTTCCCAGCTTTCTGACAAAGTCGGTCTCAGCGTCAAAGATAGAATAGTTTGCTACGAGCGGAAACTGGACAGCTGGGTGAGTAGACTTGATAAAGGCAGTATTGAGTTAAATGGCGTATGCTTGCTCCATTCAATAATTTACAACCGTCACTGGGTTGATAGCTCCCTTGGAAGAGGGCTGGTCAGCAGGAATGTAGGAACGGAAGGTTGTGAGATCGGTCGAACAAATATACTTCAAAGCTAATAGATACCTACTTCTGCTATTTTTGTGTGGAAGAAATTGTATTTGCCAATTTACCAAGACCTTGAAGTCCCTATCTGCTGACTGCGGATTGATATAATACGTGCAAACCGTCGCAGTTGGAAGCAGGTTGATTGGTGATAAGGTTTTCCTATTCGCTGTACGGCGTCTTCCCAGGTCTTCTCGGTCAATTCATTTCGGTGACGTATCCGAGACAAACGGACCACGTGACCCGAAACGCATAGGCCGCGCGGAATGATGAAGCCTAGCGACTAGGCAAGTGGTAAGGTAAAGAAAAGCTGATAGAAGGTGATTTAGTGATCAACTGCCACGAACTGTTGTTGGAGACAGTAGTAACACGGTAGAGTGGCTGCCCTTCAGGGTCAAAGATTAGATGTTTTAGCTTCGAGTTTTCGACGCCTTTTTGGCGTCTTTGTGAGGTAGTTGCTTATTCTTACACGTGACCTAAAGCAATGAACACGTGGCAATTTTCAAACAATTTTTTCCGCTGACTGTTTCTTACAGAGTCCGTCCCTACTTCGAACGAAAAAAGCCTTGGGAAACTCGACTTCTGGTGCAGGTAGGGATAACAGCAGACGTGAATTTTAAGTAAACTGCCAGATGCAAAGCACAGCCGATAACTAACGCTCTGTTCCAATGAACTGATAATCATATTTTTAAAAAGCTTGAACTCTAAGACTGAGATTTCGCACAGACGTCACGAAGACTACAAGATTTACTTTAATGTGCTTCTTATAAAACGCGGTTGAGCTTCTTCAGTTGCAATTTTTGACCTTTAGCGTTTTTCCTGGGGTTACAGTGCGTGAAACCCGTTTAATATATTGATGGTCATGTTTTTATTCGTAATTCAAGATACACCCGGTTTAAGCGAAAAACCCTCAGAGAAGCCTTTTGACAGTCCTGTGGCGTCTCGCCTGACACCAGATGGACGCTTGGAGGTGAATTACACGGAGGAAAATTCGACAGCTCATCATGGAGGTTTGTTTGAATCAACTGCATTGTTATGGAGTGGTTGTATTTTTGGAGCCACTGAAATAAAAATCTCATTTTACCCTGTCGGACTAAAAAAGCGCGTATTGATGACACTGTGTTTTGGTTGATAGCGAGCACTTAAAAAAAGTAAGCTAAAAAGATATACTGTGTCGTTCCCACACCGGGAATCGAACCCGGGCCACGGCGGTGAGAGCGCCGGATCCTAACCACTAGACCATGTGGGAGATGACGAGTATGTCAGCAACAGTGGGAGTTAGACATGTTTATACAACAATGGGAGTTTGACTTAATTTGTAAAGGACTTTGTGGGTGTGTATAAATTTCCATTTTGACAAACATAAAAAGTATATTTCAAAATTGATTTTTACGTATGACAATTTGAAAGACAGCCGCTATTACCTATACAAAGGACGTGTGTGAATTTCCATTTTGACAAACAAAAATATGGTCCTGATTTTTCCTGACAATTTGAAAGACAGTTTGCCCTCTGGTATAATTTTGCTAATTGTCCAAGGATAAATTTGAGATTTCTTCCTCAAACTAATTAACAATTATTCCTCGAGCCCGAATGGGCTCTGAGTCAATAGCCCACGAGGCCGAAGATTTTGAGGTTTCTAGAGACGAATTGACAATATTTTAACCTGTACATCTGGCGAGATTGTTACGCCCGGGGTACTTTCTTGGCGGCGGACAATCTTCTCGCGATCCTGCTGCCAAAAACACCACTCAGTCGCCCGCTTATCCCGCCAGCCACGCAAGTAACTGAAAACTAAACCACTTAAGTTTACTATAAAAAGCTATTTAGTTGTTGCATTTGATGTCAGGGATATGATAAATGGCAACAATAAATATGGAAACATTTCTGGTGCATTAAATGTTTGATAATTTAGGATTTTTTAAATCTCTGATATATAAAAATGAAATTAAAAAATTGAATTGACATTCCCACACCGGGAATCGAACCCGGGCCACGGCGGTGAGAGCGCCGGATCCTAACCACTAGACCATGTGGGAGATGGATGGCAGATAGTCTACGAAATTTTATTTGAGGAGTCAAAAACTTCTCCTTTTTCGGTTGCATACGAAGTCTACGAATAACTGAATACGAAAACCACTCTGCTGTCCAACAATTTGCAGATCATTTGAAGATCATGTTCGAACATTTCCAGTGAAATAGCCTGCGTAGCTTTTTTTTGCTTCCGCTCTAACTTTCGCGCAATAAATCGATTGGAAACGCTTGCTAAGCAGGTTACCAGTGAAATGGTTGAGGTTTGAATCCTCTATTTGATTTCTTATTTCGCTGGACAAATGAAAATCCAACACTTTGACCATTCATATAAAACAGCTTTTGGGCTGTTGCATAAGATGACTGGGAACGTAATTAGACAATGGCAACAATGAGTATGGACAAAACCTCTCTTGGATAAATATATTTGACAATGTGTGATTCTTTTTGAAACAGTCAAAAAGAAAAAAAAATTATGTAATAAACATTCCCACACCGGGAATCGAACCCGGGCCACGGCGGTGAGAGCGCCGGATCCTAACCACTAGACCATGTGGGAAGTGACGAAGTTAGGCGGAAAATCTACATTTCTTATATGATACGCTCTTGGTTTTCTAGCTGAGGATCTGTCACTTTGGAAGAGTTGTTGTGGATCTTTTTTTTCAAGACTACTTAATTCCTTGTAATAGTAGCTAGCATTATAGCATTTCGCGCCAAAAAAAAATCACCTCAATGACGTAAATAAATGTATTGTGACATTTGACACTTTTATTAGTGGAAATTTAACCTTAAAGTTGATCACTGTTCATCCTTTCAGCATTGAAGTCCACTGTAGAACCCAAAGAGCCGACATATCGTGCGTCTTCAGCTGGTTCACATCCACGACCCTCTTACGATGGCACGCGGGCGCAGAAACCACCTATACCAATCAGCGGCGAGACAGTGTCAAAGCGCGTGCTGTCTGCGCAGCCGCGGTATCAGCCAATCAGAATTGACGACATTATGGCAAAGGCAGGCACACTAACGTGAGTATTAAGCTTCATTTCAATAAAATTTTACAAAGTTGATTACTTAATTTTGAAGTCAATCCGAATTACACAATGTAACAGTAAGAATTCAAAGCAGAGACGTTCATGAGATGCTTTGTGTTTCCATTTACCTCTTCATCGAATGTTCAGTTTCCAAGAATTTGAGCTGGTTCATTTTGCCTCCATCTCAGAAATCTTACGAGGGTGAGAAAATAAGGAAGTGTGTTCAACTTACGTTCCAACGAATAATCTTCGGATTTATGGTAAATGGAAAATGATCGCTAAGCGACGGAAAACCACGCAACAGTGCGTGGCACGGAAAAAGGGTAACCAGAACAACCCGGAAAAATATACGTCCTCTGCGAATAAAATTCTCTCTCTGTTTGGTTTACCGTCATCATTATGTATTAAAGCATTCTAGAATTTTAATTGAAATTAAATGCGTGGAGAACTCTATGTTTTTCAAAGCTGCTTTCACAAAACGCTTTGTTTCAAAGGCAAAGGCATAACAGAGCGTATTCGCTCACTTGGCCAGCATCTATGCTAATATATACGAACAAAAGAAAGATTTTACATACGAAAAGAGCTCAATTCTTACAGGGTTGTCTTAGTACACCAACATGGTCGCGGTTTCAATGTTTTGGGACACCAATATGGCCGCCGTGACGTCATGTGAATACGCTCCCTAGGGAGCTTAAGCAACGACGATGAAGGAGGCAGTGAAAACGTCGCTAAAAAAATGAATTTACATCCTTTCAAACTTTATCGCGTCTTTTTAGACCTGCTCAGTTGGTCTATGTGGGCGATTTTTCCTGGATTTCAATTCTTAAGGACTGTAGCCGAGTTCAAAAATAAAACGAGAAATTATTCGCCGTAAAACGTTCCATAAGGAAGTTTCACGTCGTAGTCGTACAGTGGACGTCAAAAAATGTACTAAAAAGCGTGATGCACGTGCAGAGCTTTTGTTTTGCTCATAACACCAATTGCCTTTGATGTTGTCTTTGTCGTCGTGGTTGTTTAAGCTCTCTATTAAACTTTTCAATGGTCATTTGTACTTTTTCAGGAAGCTTCAAGCGAGGCAAGCATTTGCTATGTATCTACAACGAGTTCAACAGAGACTTGTACACGAAACAAGGTACGCGGGGGGTCGTTTATGTTTTATCAACCTATCATAATTGAGGCATTACCGAATTGGGCAAAGCCTCTTTTTCAAAACGAGGGTAAGTACGAATCTTTCATCTGAAAACCTTATTGTCACGCAAAAAATCCTTCACATCGAAGGTTCACACACTAAGGGCCTGTTTACATGGAGTGGGGGACCCCGGTCTAGTGGGGTCGGTTTTTTTGTTTTCACGCTCTGGGGGACACAAAACAAAAGAAACCTACCCTACTAGACCGGGGTACCCCACTCCATATAAACAGGGTCTTAGTCTTGTTTGAAAGCTATGGTGAAAAAAAAAACTGAGAAAATTATAAAATCTAAAATAGATCAGTATTTATAAATCCTGTTTGCACTCTCGTGCTGCAAAAATTAACATTCCCACACCGGGAATCGAACCCGGGCCACGGCGGTGAGAGCGCCGGATCCTAACCACTAGACCATGTGGGAGATGACAAACAGTACGGTAACAGTGGAAGATGAGTTTAATACGTTAAGGACTTGTGTGAATTTTATTTTCCCTTTGTGGCAAACAACAATATGATCCTGATATGGTCTTCATCTCTTCTTTTTCTTTTCTTTTCTTTCTTAGTTACGATTCTGAGAATTCGAGAGACGATTCAGACTCCAGACAAGACGATCAGATGGTTAGTTAAAGACGTCTAAGGCCCGTTTCAAACGTTTTCTGCTACTGTGCCATGATCAACTGATCGCATTAAACTTCGACTTTGGCACTTTAGGGGACACTTAAAAATTAGTGTCTTTAATTAGTACTTTCGTGTTAAATACGTTGACACTTAAAAAATACCGTATTAACTCGAAAACGCTTACCGTATTTAATTTTTCACTCCTCAAATGCGGCGCTTCTTCGAATGCGGCGCTTATTCGAATGCGACGCTTATTTGAGGGCGGCGTTTAATTGAAAGTTGAAAGGTTTAAGCGCAGTTTTAGTTTTCCTCCAATGACAGAGGAAAAGACGGGCCTACACGTCTTTCCTTTCTCATTGGAGGAAAACTAAAACTGCGCCTAAAAGTAATGCTGCTTATTCACACAGAACGTCGAGGAAGCTTACTTTTCTTCAGATCTTTGGGCTGTGTGGCTAACAACTTTATTTCCTTCTCTAGAACTTGGTCATTCGTTTTTTAAAGAAAGCTGCGAGCAATTTACAACAGCCATTCAAAGTTGTTGTACCGAGTCACAAGCTGCCTCTACACGATAGGTAGGTGTAGGTATTGCTTTCAAACCTTAGACTCTTATTTCCAAAGCCAATTATGGAGGCATCTGAGGTGGAAATCACTTGTTGGAGGAAGCCGATTTATTTTCCTGTATTTATTTCCTTTTGCTCTCTCTATAGGAGACGTATTTTGGCAAAACAGCTCGGAGACTTCGTTCGAGTTTACGGAAAGGTACCTTCATTGAACTGAACCCACAACAACAGACTTAACCATAAAATTTAAAGATTTAGTAAACCAGCTTTTCTTTGAGGAAGGGGTGGTCGTTACTCCTTATAGAGTCACGAATTGGCCAATGGGTCAGCGGATTCATATTATTGGGGAGTTTTAAAAAGGGAACTAAACATCAACGACGGCGCGTCGGCTACGAAAACGTCACTTAAAAAGTGAAGTCGCGCTGCCTCACACTTTATCGCGCTTATTCCATGTGGTTCAATTCGTCAAATATTAGGGAGCTTAAGCAGCGACGTTTTTGAGCGACGCACGTCAACCGGAAGTGAGGTATTTTCCCTCTTAACATGCCTTGATGATATAAAATTTGTATTCCTTAGCTTCTTTACTGTTATAGAGGCGATTTGACTGAAAATTTGGGCGAAACCACCGTCAAAAAAATGAAAAAAAGGCCACTTCCGGTTGACGTGCGTCGCTCAAAAACGTTGTTGCTTAAGCTCCCTATTAGCAATATTTTCTGGAGCTGAGTTCCAGTTCCAAAAAGACGGTATCGAAGTTCAGGAAAAGAAAAAGAAAGTCGTTGTCTTGAGTTCACGTCCGCCACAAAACGTGAAATTAGCCATTTTCACGTCTTAGTCGTGCAGTGACGGCAAAGAAATGTACTAAAATGCGTGATGCACGTAGAGGGTTCTTGTTTTGCCAATCTAGCCTATTGTTTTTTACCGTTCTCCTTGACGTCACAGTCGTCGTTGCTTAAGGTCCCCAAAGCTACCAGGCGACGCTGGCGAAAACGTCGCTTTAAAAGTGAGTGCACGTTCTTTCAATCTCTATCGCGATTATTTCAACTCGCTTACTTTGTCTAACGCAAGCGATCTGTTGTGGACTTCACTTTCGACGAATTATCCCAAGTCAGTCAGAAAGGGAAACAAAATTTCGTTGTGGTGTCTTCACGACCTCCATAAAACATGAAATTAGGAAGTTTCACGTCGTATTCGTGCAGTGACGGCAAAAAAATGTACTAAAAAGAGTGATGCACGTACAGAGTTGTTGTTTTGCCTATTCAACCTATTTTTTTGTTTTTGTTTTTTCTGACGTTCGCGTTACCGTCGCCGTCGCCGTCGTGGCATCTTTTCACACCAATGCCTGTCAACATTAGGGCCATTTATACGAGGAAAAATGAGACGCGTCTTAAATAAGACGCGAACTGTACCATTTATACGAGCATGTCTTATCTAATAAGACGCGTCTTAGCTAAGCCGCCTCTTATTTTAGACGAAATGTGCCGTTTATACGGAAAGTTCGCGTCTTATTTTTCCTCGTATAAATGGCCCTATTTAGTATCTTCTTTCTGGTTCAGTCTTATAATTAAGGAAGTTTCTGGAGATTTAAGATAGTGAGAAATAATCAGCTAAAAAGTCTTCTTTTTAAATTGTATTTTCCTAAGGAAACTGTGCAAATTCAAAAGCGCCATGAAATTAACCGCACCTACGGGCTTTCACGGAGCAACTCGTTCGTGAGTGAAATTCCTGATGAAGAATTCAAGGTCTTTATGGCCATTGCAAGGTACTGTATACGTGTTTTAACACATGTTTCGACACCACTCACCATAAGGAATGGCTCCACTTATATAATAGACGGCAAACTAGTCTAATTTCTGGCGTGCGAAAAAAGTTATTAAAGGAAAGTTGTATACTTGACACTTCACTGTTTGACTTCGTTAAGAAGTTTTCAAATGTTTTGAGGTCTATTTTTCCTTACCAACGCGTGCTGTCATTGGCTTCTTCGGGGTCACATGACATCTACCGATGAAACTGTTTCCCGCCAAAATCCCCTGAGTGGGCAATCAACATTGCAAAATTTGTGACGTCAGAAGATCATGACCCGCGAATGTTGACTGGCCGCTAAGGACCTTCTTCTGGTCCCTTGGGAAACCAACGAAACTTGATTCCCCCGGATCTCAACGCAACAGTTAAAACTGTTTCCCTAGTGAAATGTTTTTTAGTGTTGTTATCATGAGTAACTTTTTCTCTGTTTGGTTTCATACTTTCCCATTCGCACAATGAATCATATAGTTTTTTGTTCATCCTTGCAGCGAGACAGAACTCGAAGATCTCTTAACTACCTACACCAAACTGAACAAGAACGCCAGCGTGTTTTTAGGGGGTCGGCCAGAGAGGAGCTCGGAGGAAAGCGCCGCTAAAGTGCCCTCGAACGACACAGGCTTGTTAAGGAGAAAGGAAGGGGAGCGACATGCCAGCAAAAGGTAAACAAAGGATATTCATGTTTGATTCTGTGTTTTATCTTGCCTAGTGTCATTCCTGTTCTGGTAAAGATGATAGATTTTAAAGACCGAACGTTTGCCCCCTGAGTCAGGAAAAAGTCAGGGAAGAACAAATTTTTTTTAAGGTCAGGGAAGAGCTAAGAAGAAATTTTATAACATAACAAAGCAAGCAAAAAGCATTTCATTTTTCACAGTGTTTCGTCAAGTTGATTAAAAAAAGGATTTTCATCCGGAAGTGAGTATTCGGTAGCTGAATATACTCTCATTACGTCCACTCATAGTTCACCAACTCCCACATGGTCTAGTGGTTAGGATCCGGCGCTCTCACCGCCGTGGCCCGGGTTCGATTCCCGGTGTGGGAATATTTATTGGATAATTTTTTTCGTTTTCACTGTTTCAAAAAAAATCACAAATTGTCAAATATATTTATACCAGAGAGGTTTTTCCATACTTATTTTTGCCATTGTCTAATTACGTCCCAGTCATCTTATGCAACAGCCCAAAAGTTGTTTTTGGATTTTCATTTGTCCAGCAAAATAAGAAATCAAATAGAGGATTCAAACCTCAACCATTTCACTGGTAGCCTGCGTAACAAGCGTTTCCAATCGATTTATTGCGCGAAAGTTAGAGCGGAAGCAAAAAAAAGCTACGCAGGCTATTTCACTGGAAATGTTCGAACATGATCTTCAAATGATCTGCAAATTGTTGGACAGCAGAGTGGTTTTCGTTTTCAGTTATTTCGTAGACTTCGTCTCAAATAAAATTTCTTAGATTAATTGCCGTCGATCTCCCACATGGTCTAGTGGTTAGGATCCGGCGCTCTCACCGCCGTGGCCCGGGTTCGATTCCCGGTGTGGGAATGTCTTTTTTTTTCTTTCTCACTGTTTTTAAAGTATAATACCATCAACTAACGTGATACAACTCACTTTGACTCTGAAGATGACTACCGCACAGGTTGTCGAAACGTCAGTCACTGTCAACAATAACAGTCCTATTCAGGACTACGTTCACCCGGACGATCAAACTCAACCTACTTTTGAAATGACTCCTGGGTTCAAACCTTTCACAAAAAAAAAAAATTGTCAAAATTTACCCAAGAGAGGTATTTCTATACTTATTGCTGTAGCTGTCTAATTACGTTCCCAGTCATCTTGTGCAACTGCCAAAAGCTGTTTTATACGAATGGTCAAAGTGTAGGATTTTCACTTGTCCAGACGTAGTTAATCGATAAACTGATAATCGATATCAATCATCGATGAGCCTCAATTTCCGATATCAAACGATAGAAATCGATGAAGGAAAAGCGTTCTGACATCGATTGTTATCAATTTTGTTAATCGATAATAATCATTTTTCTGTGATTTCAATTTCTATCGATTTCCGAAATCAATCGATATTAGTCGGTGGATTAAATCAAATAATATCGATAATATTGATTGATTTCCGATACCGATTTTTATCGATTAAATACGTCTGGATTTGTCCAGCAAAATAATAAATTTAATAGAGGTTTCAAACCCCCTCCATTTCACTGGAGCAGTTCGAAAATGATCTACAAATGATCCGTAAATTGTTGGACATCGGAGTGATCTTTGGTTTCGGGTAATTTCCAGTCTGGTTAATTTCGTAGACTTCGTATCCAACCAGAAAAAGATAAGTTTTTGACTCCTCAAATAAAATTTCGTAGATCACCTGCTATCCATCTCCCACATGGTCTAGTGGTTAGGATCCGGCGCTCTCACCGCCGTGGCCCGGGTTCGATTCCCGGTGTGGGAATGTTATTTTTTTTTTTCTTTCATTGTTTTTTTTTTTAAATCAAATTGTCAAGTATATTTACCCAAGAGAGGTATTTCTATACTTACTGAGCCTATCTGGCCTGCCAGTTCTAAACCCATAAATAAAATTTCTAATTATTGGTCAACCATTTCCCACATGATCTAGTGGTTAAGATCCTGCGCAGTTTTCTAATTTTATTTCCAACCGCAATTTAAACCTTGCAGTGATATATGCCTGCATGATGAAAATGTGTAATAAAAGTTTTTCAGTTCTGGTAATAGAGGCAACGAGTATTAAGAGACCATTTTAAGTTTTTAATATGTAATTTATTATGAAATGTCTTAGCCTAGTCTGCGTTAAGCTATTTCTTGGAAACCTGTTTGAAATCTCTTACTCTGGAAAGACCCGCGTTTTCTTTAAGAAAGAAGAATGTGAAGAAGATGGTCTTGAAAGAGAGAGGGTACGAAGGCCGGGAGATTTACAGTTCTTCAACTCGCCTTGACAAAACAGCTTTCTTATGGTTCTTTTGATAGGTCAAATCCCACAGCAGACGAACAGTTACAGAGGCCCCCAGAGGACCTTAGTAGCACGGACTCTAGCATGGCTGATCGGCACGCACGAGCCTTCACAGCGGTCTCTGCTTATGGGACCTCGGTGGCCCTGAACAAAACCCGTCAACGGCCAGTGTCCGCCAAGGTCACAGGATCACAAGGTAAGGTGAACATTTAGGCTAGGTAAACTTCTCTTTTCTTTTAACCCCCAGGGCTTATACAACTTTGGAAAGGGTTTTAGGAGGGCTTGTAAACGGGTGACGGGGAGGGGGTTGGGCTTATATTCAGGCGGGCTTATAACCCGGACTAAAAAACAATTTCAATACAAGCTAGAGGCGGGGCTTATATCAGTGGGGATTATAGCCTTATGTATTTTTTTTACAGGTAGATTTTCCTATAACTAGGGGATGAGGGGGTGGGAGGGGGGAAAGGAGGGGAAGGGCCTTATACGCGAAAGTTTACGGTATTCGCTACAGATTCCGGATTCAAAATCTCCGGACACGCGAAAAATCCGAGGAGAGATTTATCTCAGATTATTGCATCTGCGTTTCAACGGATTGGATTCGTCACGTCTTCTAGTTTAGTTTACATGCAGAGCTTGCTAGGAATACATGAGTCTTTAACCGTACCTTTAGCGGTCGGTGTTATGTCATTTTGTACTTTGTCATAGAAAGAAGACTTCGTTACTGCATTAAAACTTGCCTAAACTTCAATGTCTAATTTCTGTTTTGCAACTAAACGAAATTGTTGTTGTGTCTTTCTTTAAGCAAACCATTTATCGTTCCAGGAGCTGATAGCCGGATGCACAGGGCTGGTCGTCCTGTTTCGGCAAAACCGCATTCACATGATGCAAGGCCCACCGGAGACATGAGTGATACGAGGAGTATGGACGGAGGTGAGTAACCACGTGACACGTTCATAAAGCCCAGTCCTGACCAGCAAAACTCAGACAAGCATTCTGAGAACAGCCGCGGTATAAGCTTAGACACAAACAGATGCATATTATAACCCTTTTGTTCTCCTTTTCCTTGTGCTTATGTCGATTATATTCCCATTGAGAAAGCATAAACACAGACACAAGCAGTAATAAAATTTCGCCTTTAACGAAAACCATCTTTTACCGCCATTTTGAAACCGTTATTTCGTGCCAACACGTGTAACGCCCAAATTGTTTGCTTCTGCGCTAGCGTATATCAAGTGCATTTCTTTCAGTATAGTACTCGCGCCTAAAATTTTGGCGATTCAAGTTTTCTTCCTCTTTTATTTTCCTTCCTCTTTTTGGATTACAGCCAGAATAGACAACTCTCTGCCTCCACGCTCTAAGTTTCAATTAAATTAAATTGCCCTCTTTTATAGCTCCAGGTTACATTGGTCATGGGATTCGTGTCTCGTCTGCATCAGTTCGTCACGAAAGAGGCGAAGATGTGTCCTATTCAACAGAACCCAGCCCCGTTTCGAACACCTTGGAAACTAGACTGCTGTAGGACCAACGATGTGTTACGCTGTAGTAAGACCCGCCCATATTGGTGACGCCGGTTCCAGCGTTATATATCGTTTAGGGAAGTTCGTGACGTAGTAATCGAGCTTTATGGCAGTACATGTATGATAAATTCGTCCTCACGGGCGTGGCTGGGTGGCTCTGATCAATAATAGCGTGCGCATTGATACTAACATTTTATAACCGGAGCTTATTTGCCATCCAACGTAACGTAGCAAGTTGAGTGGCGTTAAGATTTTTTTATATTCTGACAGGTCACACGTTAGCTGATGAACATGCAGTCGCCGCTGCTCTTCAGCGGTTAGCGAAGCGACAAGCTGCGCGGCAGTACTCTGCGCAAAACACCGGCGGTTATCAAGGCCACAACTGGGATGACCTGTTTAAAAAGATGGATTTCAACCAGGAAAACGATTCCGCGCCTTACAATCACGACGAATTTATTAGCGTCGGAGATGAATTTTCTGATCCTTGGGCACGCGATGTAGGTAAAGTACCGAGATCTGCACAGAAACCACATGACCGTCACGCAAGCGCAAACGCTACGTTTGAAACTTTCATTAACCATGATCAGCGAGCCGCAAGTAAAGGTCATGGTCACATGGGATGGTTCGATAAGACCGCTGACCAAGTTGCTTTGAGCACTGTTGATGCGCAACGTGCCGAAGGAAAATCGATTCACATAGATTTGAGAAGACAGTACGGTGTATCTCAGGAAGTTAAAAGCGAGGAGAAAACATCAGGAGTCAAAGTTAAAACTCCGTCCGTGTCGAGAGAGGAATATAATAGACACATGAAACTTATAAGCGAGAAAATATCCGAAGAGAAACTTCGTTTGCAGAGACAGTTACAGCAATATCCGCGGTTACCTCGACCACCACCCTCTCGGCCAAGCCCTGGAACCAAGAAAGTCGTTAGTCACAAAAGAATGATAAGGTAACATGGAATACCCCTGGGAAATCTGAGTGGGATGTGCCGCTTTAGCCTATCCTGGGTACCAGGGAGTTTTCATGCGCGGTTTCCGGTCTCGGTCAAGTCTTCGGTATTGTCCCGCTCCTTCGCCGCTCGTGGCTTCGCGGGAATTGTGCCGACTTGTAAATATTCCACCCTGCGCGACTAAAAACCTCTGGTACCCAGGATAGCTTTATCCATGAAACCCATGTCTCATGTCTCCCCTCCTTAAATCAACACAATCTTATTTTTATCATTTCAGTCCTCACGGCGGGAATACTTTCTTTTTCCTTATCGCCATCTGGTGCAACTCCTGTTCTTTTTACTTTCCATGCTTCTAACAAAGTAACTCAAAACTGCCAAAAAGTCTAATAAATTGATTTACTTCAGCTCTGTCTGCCCTATTCAGTACTGACTTTTGTTTTTGTTCTGTATATTACAACAGGGTAGCAGCGTCCAATCCCCCGCCAGTGTTTGACGTCATCACAGGAATGACAGGTCTGCCATACGACGATTCTCTGTGACAAGTCAGCCTTGTGGAACTTTCTTGTGAAGATCCTAAAATTTGTCTCCTTTTCTGAAAGCGTCATTCAGATTCTGGTGATATTATTTGTAATAACGTCCAGGTTTTCTCCTTTTCTTTTAACCTGAGTAAAGCAATTCCTACCGGTTGAAATTTACTTCAGTGATTTTTGTTAAAGATCACGAGGTTTGGCTTACACTGAGTTGTAGAAGCCGTTTGCAAAACTGTTAAGTTTGTAAAACTTGCAATTTAATTCTCTACTGAACAAATTTTACGGCCAATGGGCTCCTGAAACAAGAAATCTATTGCTTTCTTTCAAAAGTACGGTCTTAGCACAGTGTTATATTCGACTCTCCCTTTAAGACGGACGAAGAACGCCGAAAACGAAAGTTTGGTTTCCGTTTTGGGGATGTGTTCATCTTGTAGAGTTGGTTAAGTTTGAGTTGACTACAGTGACTACAGTTCTCAGTGCAGGAATCTTTCTCTAGAGACCTTGGGGGCGGGGGCTTTAGATTCTATAAAGGGGGAGAGTGCGCGCCGTCATTTTGGCAGGAAAAACGCGATAGCCGTCTTCATTCTTATACGGGTTTAGTGGAAATGTCGTGGTGGCGGAAACAATTTATCAAATGTTAAAAGTTTTATCATTTTGCGATCGGGAGAGGACGGAAGGAGCTTAACCTCTTTCAATAGAAATAATCGTGTTAACTTTTTTCTAGTGAAAAAAGAAAAATGAAGCTTTTCATGGTGTCAGGAGAATACGAGAACTGAAAAAAAAACTCAAGTCAAATCTCGTCCTCGAATCTAAAGGTCTCTACTGTCAGTAGCGGATCTAGGGGAAGGGCCCAGGGGGCCCGGGTCCCCCCTTATTTTTAGACCAAACTGAGACCCGAAGGGCCGAAAAAAAATTTTGGAGACCGGGGCCCCCCTTATCAAAGGGTCTGGACGACCTTCCCCTCCCCTTATCTTAAGGTCTGGATCCGGCACTGACTGTTATGATGCGTCAAGGCAACAGAAAGCTTTTAAGGAGATAACCAACCTCGTCCCCAGGGCTTTTCCCTTAAAAAATGGATTTTTTAAGGGAAAAGCCCTGGGGACGAGGTTGGGAGATAACTAGCAATTTTCCATTGTATTTATTTGATCCTTCAAGATCACCATTGCACACTTATTTTTATAACATATTGTAGATTGTACAGTAGTTTTATATGTCGAAGGAAAAATAATTTATCAATTAAAGTTGTTTCTTTTGTCAATTTTAATTACACTGCTGTTTGTTTACCTTCCAAAAATCAGTCAATCAACGCCTCGATTAAAGGACGAGAGATCTGTGTATCCCGTGGTTACAAGTGACAGTGTGAGACTGGGTCTGTGTTGAGCCAGCCGAATTGAACTATGGGACTGTTTTGGGGGTCTTATTAGCCCATAAAAGAAGTGATAGCGTCCCCCAAACAGTCCGTTTGCGTGTAGTACATCCGTGTATTCTTCACGCCATAGGGTCGAGTGATTGCGAAGTGTCTTTCGTGATGAGATGGTCGCCGGGCTGTTATTGGTTCTTCTGAGTGAAAAGGCAGCCTCATAACCAACAATTTACCGAAGAAGAACGCTTTATTTTCCTTACTTTAATAAATTAATACATTCTTTAAAATGAATATGAACAATTTATTATGATCTATAAATTAACAACCACCATTATGGAAAGAAATTGAGCGTGAAAAGACATTCAAAGTGCTGCATTATATGCATATACGCGCAAGGTAATACGAGATGCCAATGTTGTTGGTCAGGCCTGTTGCCAAAGCAACAGGCCTGACCTCTTTCCTTATGTATTAATGGGGGAGGAGGGGGAGGGGGCAAAAAAAAGGCGATGATCGGGGATCACTTGATTTATGTAGAATCAACACTCTGTTAATGGACACCCTACTATATCCGCGTCAAGGTGAAGGAGGAAAACAAAAATTTCTTAACGCCCCGGTTTCTCTTCTCTTTCATACGGTTTCTTTTCCTTCCCCGGCCACCTGTTATCAACGTGTTAGCAAATGTTCCCATACAAGCAACTTCACCTGAAAGTTTAGGCGAGAGCAAACAAAAGCAAATAGAGTAGGGGTAAAGAGAAAAAGAACTTTTTCCTCCCATCCTCTCTAATTTGTTTTACCTCGTTTAAAGTTTCACGCTGCTAAATACTAGGAAAAGCATAGGAAAGCTTGCTACAGAGGATACCCACTTCTTGGGGCACCTAGATCATGACGAACTTCCTTCTTTGAAACAGCACTCGAAAGACTTAACAACCGTTCTAACGAGTCTTAACATTGCGAAATATAAACATATCTAGATTTTCCATTACTGGGCCCTGCTTCATCTCGATCGTCTTCATTCAAGCTAGGACATGAGTATGAAGGCTTTAGTCGTGAGCCCGTGAAATTTGTTTGTAGCAGCGAAGTGGCCGGTGATATGGAAGGAGTTGTGCAGCGTGACGCGCTAAGGTCACATTGCTCTAATGTTCGTAACAGCTCCCCTTGCGTTACATTACCGATGTCGTCACGTTCTGCAATAGAGATGACAACAGGGGTATCAAAGGCGAATAAAGAATAAATACCTCATTTCAGCCGCTTTTTAGCTCCGTATTGTACAGCCTGCGAACGGTAGACGTTTCTCCTCGCTTATCGCCGATGAGCGAGAAGTAATGTCTCCTGTTCGCAGGCTACGTACTGTAAATTACAGGACCTCGTTTTTTCTCTCAAGCTCAAAATTAGGGCGTGAGGGGAAGATCCATAATTTAAAGTACGGACAGAGAAAACGAGACTAATAAGATGTTAGTTATATGTCTTTCTTTTTGTACAACAACAACGAGGCGACCATTAAAGGATTGTGCTGCTTAAATTTAGAACTTGCATTACAAGGTTACATAAGGAGAAAAACTATGACTAAAGAACTAAAAATGTGGAAAAAAGGGAATAATCTTGAGTTAAAATCAGTTTGTGCAATAAGTTACGGAACGATAATTGCCCAATCACAGATCAAGAAATGACAAAGACAAGTAATATACAGTTTTATCCAACACTCACCTGTAGTTTCACCAGACTGTTTGGAGACAATTTCCAGAGCAGTTGTTAAATCCCACATCTGAAAATGGAAAAACAGAACACTGTCAAACACAACACCTCCTTGGCGTACACAAGACCAGCCAGCCAAGGGTCACGCGCGAGTCGTGAGAAGAAAGAGGGCAGATCTCTCGCGTGCACGCTGTGAATATCGGTTACGGGATGACACTCGCTAAGACTGCTTCCTTAGCTCCTCTTTTATCAATAGAAAAAATCAAAGTAATCGATAAGCGAAAGCAACAGTGGACGCAAAAAAATCCTTGGGACCAGTTATTGAAAACCTTCCATCAAAACTAACGAAGATTGACACGCTCAGACTAGCACCGAGTGTTCCAGAGTCCCGGGAGTGGTATACCCTCACTCGAAATGTACCACTTAATTATGCCACACGTACCTGTACACTTCCGTTTGTATGTCCTGTGATAAGAAACCGTCGGGGTCTGGAACCCATTCTGCTGGAGGCGTCACATTCGTGCACGCAATATGAAGTGATGCTGCTCCCGTCTACTGAACGAATTGTGCAGATTCTAAAAAAACGCAACAAATTACCTGCTCAGTAAAAGTACAAGAAACAAATTAGCAAGATAACACAGCAGATACCTAACCGTTTAAATCCTAGATTACAATCCGGATTGTGCTTAGCCTGTGTGCAAGCGAGACGCGAGAAGTCACGGGCGAGCGGGACACGAAAAGAGGAGCGAGTGTGAAGGGCGGACGTTATATCGCGGCTCGCTTCGGTCGCTGTAAAATGGAGATCTTGATCCCAGGTTAGGCCGTACTTACCTTTTTCCAGTGGACGAGAACCGTACGATCACGTGATCAGTGTCTGGAACGAGCTTCTGAATAAACACCTGCTGATCGTCACGCTCACCAAAGGGGCCTGGTGACGAGAGATAAAAATGGTGCATTATGGATTTATACACGACAATATATAGAGTGCTACTCATAGCTCAAACAGTCATTAAACACCCGGGTATGATCTATTAGGGGTGAAGACGCACAGTTGACGTTTATGAAAGAACGGACTTTTCAAAAGCAAACTTTCCTCTGGTTCTTACTACAGGGCAGACAGTGTTGAACATGTCGATAATACGGTTCCAGTGAGGGCAAGAGGTACTTTGCTGGGAGGATTATACTTGCAGGGGCAAGTTTTTGGCTGCAAAACCCTAATTAAAGTACAGTGGTATCTCCAACGCCCTTCACGTGCACTGGGTGACCCGATGCTTTGGGTACAGGACGTAGGAGGTTATGAGAAAAGAGGGAGAAAGCACTACGATGAGGATCAACCGCCAAAAATTTCGCCTCGCCTTCGATAACGCCAGCTACGAAGGCAAAGACATTGGAGTAAGTACAATGAGATGCAAAAAAAAAGAAGAAGACAAACAAACAAAAGACAAGAAAAGCAGAATAGTTCACAGGCAACTGCGGTTGAAACACAGCCTTGTACTTTCTGATTAGGTTGCTGTGGTTAGAGACTTTGTCAATTTATTAATTCAAGAAGCAATTACTGTGTGAACGCACTCACCAATAACGTTACCAGCCAACGAGCTAGGGTGGGTATCCTGTGACTCAAGAGAAACCACGTTAAAGGATGCCAGGGGCGTGGAACCAGGCTGCGTGGAGATCATGCCACGGAAGCGTGTTACGTTCCACGTGCGCACGTGATTATACTCTGAACATAAAGACACGAGGTTTTTCTCGCTCAGCATCACTTTCACAACTGGATTCCGGTGAACCATGAATGTTTGGAAGAGCTGTGGTCCGTGGCCAACTGTCTCGGGGTGTTGTACAATAACTCGCACAGTCCCTGAACTGGTACCGTACGCGATCTCGATCCAGTTCCCACTTAAACCTTAAAAGAAAACGTCTATGTAAATATAGCTGAACCTTGGTGTGCTTTGTAGAGGGGTGGGGCAATCTCCGCTTCGTGTGACATTGCATAAAACCCGGGATCAGGGCTAATCGTCCTTCGAACAATAGCCCAATAGGCCACGTTCGATATATTAGAGACAAAATTGCAAATTTTTCCGAATCCATTGTCTGGCAATTCCCAGAAAAGACTTGATCACAAAGAAAACCAAACCAGATAGAGAAATATGACAAGAAAGCCTCGGAGTCATATTAGAATTTTAATATATCGAATGTGGGCTATTAGACCCACGGCAACAATTTACGCTACCACCTTTATTGGGATCCCCGCCATTGGTTACCGGTCATCTCGCTTTAAGTCATTCACTTAGCCCCCTATTCTAGGACAAGGAATAATATACTTGAAGCGTGCTTGTTTTGATTTATGGCTTAAAGAACGAGGAATATTACATTTGAAGCGCGATTGTTTTGTTTTATGGCTTAAAGAACGAGGAATATTACACTTAAGGCGCGCTTGTTTGCTTTATGGCTTAAAAAACGAGGAATATTACATTTCAAGAATGGAAGTGCGCTTGTTTGCGTTATGGCTTATAGAACGAGGAATATTACATTTGAAGCGCTCTAAATGACTCGAAAATAGGGGGCTAAGTAACCGGGGCGAAACGACCAGTTACCCTGCCATTACAAGCGAACTTAAGATTTGTCTACGATTACGATACTTTGATACTCTCCCTACTCTCTCAATCTATAGCGATCTATTCAACAACATTCCCTGTTGATACTTAGTTGTATTAAGGTATGGGAAAAACGATTGACCCAGTCGAGCTGGGATAGGCGCACTACGAACCACCGAGGTTTATCAGGGCAGAGTTTATCCCGGTTTCTACAGGATAAGTACCTTAGAGCATTGCTAAATGGGAAAGCAGTCCATTGCATGGTTACCCCGGCGGTATTTTCCCGGTACCCATTTATAGTGAGGAGAGACAAACTGGCCTGGAGCAGTTTCTTGTCTTGCGACACAACGCAATGGCATTGGGGAGGTAATGGTCGCCGGGGGGGGGGGGGGGTACTCCCTTATATAAGCCATATAGGGATGTGCCGCCCCAAAGGGTTGGGTTTTTTGCGCCGTTTTGGTCTGAAAAAGGGTACAGACTCTGCCCATTTTAGTCTGGAATCGGGTATGGTTCTCGAGGGGGCGGCACCCCACCCCCCACCACGAATTCCAAGGAGTAGCCCCCCCTCTCCGGGGGGTATGGGTTGAAACCTAGACAGCTTCTATTTTTTAGCAGAATATTAGCACAAAAGGCCATATTAATGCAGATCTGGATAAAGAAAGTAAAAAAGGACAACACAGGCAGCAGATACTGAAGTTTCTACATACGCACTACATAAAGCAAATGTTTTCGGCCCGTTGTCCGTCGATTCCCACATGGTCTAGAGGTTAGGATCCGGCGCTCTCACCGCCGTGGCCCGGGTTCGATTCCCGGTGTGGAAAAAAGCATTTTTTTTTTTTACCACAGTTTATGTAGCCAAGCTCAAATCGTCACTCTTTTGCGCTATTCTTACATCGATTATTAACGTTGGTTGAAAGAATCAATTTTATGCGTTTCGCTTCCGCTGGCGCTCACATGAGGTTTTGTCTTTAGCTTATTTTCCAACTGACAGACAATTGGCCAGTTAAACTAACAGACTAAACGGACAACAGATTTTCCTCGTATTTCCCACATGGGGCAGTGCTTGGAACCAGGCGCTCTCACCGCCGTGGCCTGGGTTCGGTCGCCGGTCTGGGAAAGCACAACGTTTCTTTCATACCACGGTTTATGTTAATGTAGCTGAACGGTGGACATGTTGGTTACTAAAATGAAAACAACCCTCCTCAGAATTTCACGCGTTTGAATTGTCTGAACAACACAAAAATGGCTAGAAATTAAGATCACGGGGTACTTGACCAATTTGTCCGTGTTAGCACACATGAAGTGTCGATACCTGATTGGTTGCTGCTCGCAACAAGGATAAAACATGCAATTTGCCTCCTTACTTACAAGTCTTTGGCGTTAGATAGACGCTGAGTGCTGTCACCATGTCTTCGTTTGGATCTTTATACAGTTCGGTTACAAGAAGATCGTTGTCTTTCATTCTTAGCGGAAATTTCTGCATATCTATAAAACAAATAAGGCCAAACTTTCACAGTTTTACAGAGTAAACATAGAGGTGTTACAAAGTTTCGGGAAAAATAGTCTCCTTCATCTTTCCTACCTAGCATAGTGGCATGTAAGAAAGATGAAGAAGACTATTTTTCCCGAAACTTCGTGTGCCTATTAAGGACAACAAAAACTCGCCACATAGTAAGTTTCATCGATGTTTATTTCCATTTTCTAGCAAATTTCCAGACCTATTGTCCCCATATGTTCTCTATATTTACTCATGTTATAAGAAACCCGTACGTGACACAAAATAATAGTGAGCCGGGGTTACCTGTGCACTTAATAGAATACCACACCTCCACATATAAATGAAATTATAATAACAAACTTACCGATGTAATAAATCGAACCATTCGTACATCCAAGGAGAAGAAAAGAACCTGCTGTGTCATAGCTGGAAATCGGCATTACATCTTGGATCTAAAACATAGCAAAAAAGTGCCTTTTTTTCTCTCATTTATCCCAAACTTTAAAATTACGCAGAAACAACAAATTGCGTCCTTATCTACCACCCAAGATGCTCTCTTTACAAATTTTACGCGGACGAGCTGATCCCTTAGGTTTCTGGAAACTGCCCCTACCCCTCCCCTAAGCCAACATTTGGCCCAAAAAGAGAAGTAAGTGTTGATGTTGACTTAGGGGAGGGGTAAGTGGCAGTTTGCCAGAAACATAAATTGATCCGCTCACTGGATCAAAAGCTGACAGTGACTACGTTCACTTCTCCCTACTTTAGTGATTCGGCCCTAGTCTTCCTTGAGTCGTTCCTTACCTTGCGTCGCCTTTTCTCGCATGGGGTGATTTTCACGCGCGCTCGCGTTTCGCTCGCTCTACTATCCCTGAGGAAAAATGGGGGACTACTCGTAGTCTAGTCGTTTCTAGGCATGGAGCCATTTTTCTAGTCGTGACGTCATCTGTGGCTACTAAGGAGGGGATGAAAACCGACAACTGATCTGTTAACAAGAAAAACGCGCAGGAGATATGTACGTTGGGTGATTGGTAGAGGGAAGAAAGAGCCTGCCTGGCGTCCCCTTAAGACTATTATGTATAAATCATACAGGTCGACGTGGGACGAATTAGCTGAGCTGGAAGTTGAACTCACATTTTGTATACATACCTGCCAATGCTGTGTCATAGAATTCCATACTCCAATCTTGCCTGTGTGGCTGGTAGCAACAAGCTGGCTTCCAATGAAAAACAAAGCATCTACTGGTACACTAAGGTTGAATGTTCCTGCAAATAAACAGTTTCAGTCTTCTATAAAACGTGAAGCCAGAAAGGTGTGGAGGGTCGTGCAACATGTTACTCTAACTGAGTATGTATTATTTTCATGTTTTCTAAGCTGGCTTTGTGCATTCCAATCACTTTCACACATCTTGCAAGTTTTGTCAGTCGATGGATGAAGTTCTACTACGGTGTGACGATAAAGATAAACGCTCTTAAGCAGTACTTTCACAAGGTATTATTAACTAAGCTGTATAAACAGGTTCTAACTTGTGCGTTTGTGGATGAATCTGTGGTGTAACCCATTCAAATGAAACCTTTCCAGCTGTGCTTTCGTTTTGGTTTAAAGATCGCGGCAATGCTTCTTTAATCCAGATTCTCTTCAACTTCATATGCAAAGAGAAGTTAATTACGCAATGAGAATAATGCAACGCAATTAACGAATAAGATCTCATTGGGAAAGATGTTTTTTCAGTCAGTGACATAGGCGACTTGGAATTAAAATCCGATTACTTTCAACAGGATTCGAACGCTATGACCTCAGTTCTGCTTACCAGTCCAGCTGATACTCTACCACAAAGCTACAAGAGACTCGAGGGAGCTAAGGCCACTAAACTGTAGGTTCATGTGACAAACAATCACTTCAAATGATCAATCCCAAACCCGTAAACTTACCAATTTCAAATTTTACGGCACCTTGGATATGGTCTGTCGTCGTGAAACTCCATAAACGAATTTTACCCTCTGAAAGAGACAAGATCATGTCAGTTTTCCACTTTCTTGGTCATTTGACTAAAGGAGAGAAGGTCTGAGGCAAGGGGAAGTGGAGATGGGATGATAAAACTCCTAGGAGTGTTGCTGCTAATCCCTGCTTAATAATGAAAATATGTTTAGCCCGCTACAAGACGTTGATATCACAATGTTGATATCGAGTTAGCCTGTTCCAGGCTCCAAGATAGTGGGGAAAGAGGATTGAGAAAAATTGCGTGAAAACCCCGTGGAGGTCAGGGAGAGACAGAGTAAGGGTGCCTGTAACCATTGTTTTCAATACTTCATTCCCGTATACCAGCTCCTGGTATACCCTATGATTGGTCAAGTGTAACATTTTACTCTAAAACTTCTAACATCAATCATTTGGCTTCATGTGCACAGAGTCTAACAAACATGTTGAACAAGGGAAACCCTCCTACCAGGGTTCTCAATAGATTTTTAAGTAGGAGGTGATCACTGATAAAGTAGGAGGCTCTTCAGCAAAGCCAGAGGTGTCAAAACAAAGCAAAGAAAAGCGACTTCAACACAAAGTAAGCGGCTATAAATCCCTAAGCGGCGATTTGATGTTTGATTGAGAACCCTGTCCTACACCACACCTTTTGAAACCGGATTGTGGGCAGAGTGAGGTATTGAAAAAGAAGCTTACAGGCTATCCCCTTCTCTCTTCCCGCCCTTTTTCACTCACTGGTTATTTCACTGCTCACTCGCTTTTTTGGCTTGTCTACCCTGACCAAGAGCCTGGCACAGGGTAATATTGAGTGAAAGAGTTAATGAAACATACCTGCTGATACTGCCAGCATTTTATCACCAAGTGAACTGGATGTTACTTTAGCATTCAGTGCCATTTTTTCCACACAGTTTTTTAGGTAAGGAGTGGAAAAAATAAGCTCCCAGCCCACAGAGTCTTTGGATCTACAATAGGTAAAGGAGAAGTAACATGATCCACTAAGAACACATTGATCTTAAAGCAGCACATTCAAAGTAGGAACCTCAAGATCCAAGAATGGCTATGGCGGCTAAACTTTACTTTGTCAAAATAAAAATGTAGGCAACTCTCCTGGAGTTGAATGCGTAAGAACCATATCCAAGTTCAGAAAAAGGAAAGAAAATTCTGTCCTGGGTTGTTCACATCCTCCATAAAAGGTAAACCTTCAAGTCGAAATTTTCATGTCATATTCTTGCAGTGATGACAAAGACATCAAGTATACTGCATGTGGAGACTTGTTGTCTTGCTAAACCTACTGCTTTTTTGATATTCACATTGATAATGCATCAGTGACAGAGAGAGTTTCTAAAGCCAAGAGTTCTATTATAATATTATTGGAAAAGGTGTTTATGTAAGAATTCCATTTATTTTTAATCTGTGTGAAAGTCCAGGTACTATATACTTCTGAGTTTTTTTGACTCAGACTGTGGACCACTTTTAGGTGTAAAGCATGGCTGATGTGGCATGCTTTAGAACATGACAAAAACATAAAATGTACTTAACGTATGAGAAAAAAGGTCATGGTTGGCTTATAGCTGCAATACGAGTCCATTAAAACTACACAAACTTTTATTTGATCTTTTCAATTTTGAGTATATTTTTTACTTTTCCATGTTAATCGATTGAACATTTCTCCATAATAAATCATCACATGAAATAACTTCCCAAGATTTTGATTGATGATGGATGATAATGAATGATCAACACAACAGTGCCAAAATACAGTTGAACTTTCATGAGCAACCACCTCGGGTAAGTTACCACTTATCACAAAATATCAAAATAAGTTTTCCCAGATGGAACCTCCGGTTGATCGCTAATGGAAGGTTTAAATGAAAGATTGAAGGCAGATTTTTAAAAAAGAGGCTACATTTACTTATTAGACTTCAGTTCAGTTCTTCAGTAAACCAACCTGTAGCAGAATACAGCATGAGCAAAGGCAACTGCTACAAAACTATGATGCCCAACAATCATAAGAACTCTTCTCGGATCCACATCTAGAGAGAATAACAAAGATATATTTGAACATCAGGAGAAACTATGCAGTGTTTTCACTATGTTGGTACCACATTAGCATGACCCTGGCACAGTGTTGGCACTATGCAATGTTCACACCAGTATGATGCACTTCACCTGAATTACTGCTAGCAGGGTGATCTATTTTTGAGATCTACAATGTATTTTAGATTGGCTTCAAAATATTTCTATTCAAATTTCCAACCTTTACCTTCTAATTTCACATAACTGGTACTGTTTAGTTTAGATCCTGAGTATTAGTCTGGTCTAAGGGATCAAACTTGCAATCTGTGTGACCCCCCGCTCTGATCCTGCCGTCATTTACCACATAAACTGACATTTAAAAAATATTGAGCTTACAATGCAGCCCACTCACCTAAAGGATCAGAGGAGTCATCAGGAACTTCCCTGATGATGGCTTCAATGTAAGAAGAGGTGTCTCTTTCATGCCGTGGTGTCCTACTTACTGTGGATGCCGTGCTTCTTCTTCTTGTAGGAGTGTTTGATGATGACTGTTTTGATGTAGATGGAATGGGAAATTCTGATGAGAGATTGGATAAAAAATTGTTTCTATGAGATTGTTTAGTGTCCCTCAGTGATTTTTTGGAAGAAAAGTAAAACCATCTTAAGTTAGACAAATCAAATGACCATTCATGGGTTAAATGCTTTGGATGAATGTTGACAGCTACACATATTCCAGAGAAACATTAAAATAAATATTGTCTTAAAAGTAATTAATTATTATACAACAGTATTACTAGACAGACAAGCAAAAGTTAATTTGAAAATTATTGATACATAATAAATAATGTTACTCATTATCATTATTGTACCATGTACCGGGTACATTGTAAGTAAAAGCAATTTGGACACAGAGTCAAGTCAACATTTTTGCTGTGTGCAGTGTATCCAAAATTATTTTCTCACACACAACTAGGAGCCATGTCAAGCCAACCAAGCAGTCCGACCTTTAATACAGTGGAACCCCGATACAACGATCCTCGATATAACGATATCCCCGGTATAACGATAAATATGCTATGTCCCGGCGAAAGTTACAGTAAAATGTATGGGACAGAACCCCGATATAACGATCTTCGATATAACAATATTCCTGATATAACGATGCGTTTTTAGCGCACCGAGTGCAAAATCTTCCCTGATATAACGATATTACAGTATCAGTACACAGATACAGTTGCGCATGCTAGCTCTCAAGGGGACGAGTCAGACTCTGATGATGATATATTAGTGATTGAACCTACGACCCTAGGCCTGACTCCTGTGCAAGCTACTGAAGCTGTCAAAGCAATTAGAGATTTTATTATTACGTTGGATGATTCGGGCGAAAGAGAGAGAGAATTCCTTTCCTCTCTTTCAGCGATGGAGGATGCGTTTTCAAGATTGCAAATAAAACAAATGAGGCAAACCAAACTTGAAGAGTACTTTAATTAATGAACAAGTGTCTGTTGAAAAAGAAAAACAATGAACACGCAAACAGCGGAAAGTAAAGACAATTTTAATATTAATTTCCCTTTTACGATTCATACCACAGACTTTGTTGTGTAAACTTGATAACGTCTTAATGCTTTGCAAATATTTTAAGGACATTGCTGTGTGTTTGAAAAGCTACATTGTGAGTTATTTGATACTCATTACAAGTTTAATTAAACAATATGTAGTAAAAAAAGTGCATGTTAATTTTACCCCGATATAACGATATTTTCGGTTATTTTACGACAATATCGTTATATCGGGAGTCTCGATATAACGATACCTCGATATAACGATCTAATTCCACTGCTCCCTTGGCATATCATTATATCGGGGTTCCACTGTATCAACACCACAAATCACAAGTATTACAGCACAAAAAGTGCTAATAAATGGCTGACAAGAAACTGAGACTCGATACTCAACCAGAACTACAGCAATATTTTAAATCCTAAAACAAAACAAATTCAAATAAAGGTCGGGTGAGTGGGACAGGTCAGCCAATGGCCAATGACAACAAAAACATTATTGAACTCTCAATGCCACGTGTCCGGAAAACCCCCACACACTCAAACCCAGCCATGTGTGAAAATATCTTTTTCTGCTTCTTTCCTTCCTCAGCTAGCAAAAAAACACACATTCTGCCTATGCTCTTCCAACTGTAAGTTCCTCAAGTTAGTTCAATTAATAGAGTTAAACTTAAGTGTAAATGTATTCCAGCGAAAAAATAATGTTACCTGGAGAGTTAAGATACCCATGAAAAAGTACATCACCACATTTTGAATGGGACACTTCCTCACACAGAGCCAGTCTCTTTGCTGTTTAAATAATAAAGCAAATCACAGATCTGTAAAATGAGAGCTACCAAATGGAAGAGGGCAGGGTTGCAATACATGATTTTGGATGATTATGTATAGCTTTAAAAATTCTTTTTTTTTGCAAGTGTGTTCAATCAACTTCAAAATATAGGGCACCAAGTGTCTTAGACTTGATGAGACATGGCTTAAAATATTATATTATACTTATAGATCTGTTCTTTTTCAAACAAACATTAGGTTGTTTATTACCTTTTGTAAGAAAATTGGAGTGAACAACTCAGTCATGTTCAGATTTAGCAAGACTCTCTAACATTACTTTCCTTAAATTGTATACTATTATCTTTAAAAATTATTGATGACCATTAGAAAACATTTACTCCACTATTTTACGTGCCAAAGTAACAATACTATAACATACAACTTTCCTCGAATTCTATGGTCTATTAAGCAGTCATGGTAGTATTCCCAAGAGTGATCTTTTCATACGATTTGACAATGGTTTTTTTTTTAAAAGAAACTTAATTTATAGCTTCTCACAATAATTATACATACCTAGGGGGGTGATACCATAATACTCAGCTTCATGCTTGATAACTCTCAAATCTAATCCTCTGCAACGGAAAATGCATGGCCACAATTAAGCACTAATAAGCAGTTCTGACAGTTTTTTCCAGGTCCAGGAAAATTACACCAACATATTGGAGATAACAGATCACTCACTCTGATGTAGCAGAAGTTTGAGAAGTTATAAAAATTCAGTTAGTGCCTTACCTTGCATCAAGTTCCTTGGTCCTGAGGAAATTCAAAATGGGCACAAATGCATCTGGGTCTCTATCAATAAATATCTATTTAAAAGAGAGATAAAAATAAGAAGATAGGTGAGTCAAATAAATTACTGAAAAAAACTGTACATGTCACACCCATTTTACAATGCACAGTCAGTTACTGACAAACGTTTTTGACAAAAACATTATCCTAATATTGCATTTTTTTGTTACTTTTAGGTGAAAATGATAGGGTGCAATAAAGAATGAGAAATTATGCAATTTTTTCTAATAAGGTTTAATTTAGTATTGCTTTTCAACCTATGACTGTCAACTGCTTTCAACATAGGGTCAATAATGTTCCAACATACAGTACAGGTTAAAATTTATGTGATAATACTAAAGAGCCATAATGGACTGGTTAGTCCTACTCTTTAACAGAATTTCAACTTACTGCGCCTGTTTCATCTCTGAGAGATGCAATTCTTCCACTTAATAAACTAGGAAATAAGAAAAATAAGGAAGGCTATTGAGCACAACTTGTCAAATGTACTCCTATACAGATATTGTTTTGGCTTGTCACAAAATCTTAGGGAGTACTATGTGACAAGTCAAAAGAACACACTGTGTGTAGCAGGCTAAATTTACTGGCTTTTTTACAAAAACTGACCCTCCTCTCATAAGCCACTCAATCAAAATGACTTTGTTAACTTTCAATCCCAGATAAAGCTGCTTCAGCTAGCAGCTATACTTGGCAGGCACTTCAATCAAATAATAAGTACATAAGAATAATCTGCAACAGGACCAGCTCGCTAGACTACTCGAAATCGCCACAACCAATCAGCTTTTCCAGTTTAATGGTCAACTTTACCAACAGACAGATGGTGTGGCCATGGGCTCGCCCCTTGGTCCTCTAATGGCCAATGTCTTCATGTGTCATCTTGAAGAAAAGCTTACACGCAGGGGCTTGATGCCCCAGTTGTACAAGAGGTACGTCGATGATACTCTGGCTAGAATGCCTAGCGTTGATGCTGCTGCTGAGTTTCTTAGTACCCTGAATGGCCTACACCCCAGTCTAACATTTACGATGGAGCTTCCTGTGGATAACAAGATCCCTTTTATTGGCATTGAAATCGTCAAGAACGGAACTAAACTTGAAACTCAAGTTTACAGAAAACCAACAAACACCGGATTGCTCCTACATTTCCAAAGTCACACGGATAAACGCTATAAAGACTCTTTATTACAGACAATGATACATCGTGCCTATTCCTTGTCGTCTACTACAACAGAGGCTTTCAATGCAGAATGTGCCAAGTTGCGCCTATATTTAGTCGCCTTGACTATCCAATAAGTGTTATTGATTCTGCTATCAAAAAGTTTCTTTCTCTAAATTCCTCAGCGGACAAAGCAGAAAGAAACAATGATGATAGTAGCACAGTAAGAATTAGTCTTCCTTTTAAAGATCAAGTGGATAATGCGGTTCGTAAGCAGTTCGCGATCTTAGCCATAAGATTGGCCCTACTTTTGCAACCAGTTTTTGTGAGCAAGAAATTGGGGCAAGACCTTAGACCCAAAGAAATCAAGCCGTCAATTGTTAATAAGCAGTGTGTTGTTTACCAATTTTCATGTGAACAGACACACAAGCCCGACACCTTCATCAACGCATTGCTGAGCACATTTTTTCGCAATCGGTAGACATTTTTCTTAGAAGCTCAAAACAACAACTTTGGAGAGAAAAAGCCAATTCACGGTTTTAAGAAAGTGCCAGACAAATTTGATTGTTTAGTATTGAAATCATTCATCAAGTGGTTTTGCCCAATTTAAATATTCAGACGGACTTATAAGTACCGCGAAACTTTTTGTTTAATATTTTCTCACGTTACAATTTTTTAATCAGCTATTGTTGTTTTTTTTAGTATTTATAGACCAAAAATCACTAACTTATTTTGACTTGATAATGACGTTCAGCTAACGTCGAAACGTCGTCGCTTTTTAGCAATTTTTTAATCTTAAAATGATTTTAAGAAATGTTTTATCGCAATTTTTTATAGTTACACAAGAATAAACTATGTGAAATAACGTGGTTAATAATCTGCCATACTATGCCATTTCTCCCAGACATGGCACAAATCTCCTGGTCTTCCGTACAGATGACCAATTTATCTCCTGCCCACAATTCAAATATTTTCTTGTTCATAGTATGGTTTCTGTTTCTGTGGGGGGAGGGGGGTAGGGGAGAGAGAGAGGGAGAAACCCCCTCCCCTTTTCCCTTCCCCCTAATCCCCTTCCTCTACTCATTTTGACATTTCTGCGCCTGCTATCACAGGGAAGGTTATCGGTGCAATATACAATGTACATACCACAGTGGAACCCCATTAATACGGTCACCAATAGGCCAAAAAATTTAGCCATATCAACAGGTTTACAAGAAAATGTATGGCCATTTTGCCGTATGGCCCCAAAAAAGTGGCCATAATAACAAGTTGACGGTATGACTGAGGTGGCTGTAAGGCGGAGTTCCACTGTACTTGTACCATTAATGATGGCCAAGAATGTTTTCTATACTTTTTAACTCTACTTGGAGCTACATTTAAGTTGATCCGACCAGATGACATAAATAATATTGAAGATCAGGTCAAAGACATTGTGATTTAATACAATGCACTTACCTGGAGAAAAATGAGTCTGGAATCCATGTCAGGGTCTGCTTTGATGTTGAAAACCTGCCAATAATAATAACAATAACCATATCATTCTGCGATGTACATCTACCAAAGTCAAAGTTGCATGAGTGACATCTAATATGTTTGCCTGCGTGGCAGGTGTTAAAAGGGGAAGGGGAGGAGAATTTCGGCACGCGAGAGCAGGCTACTAATATGATCATCCAATCAGGGTTGTCAAAAGTAGCCGGCTGCCAACGAAAATCGCCGCCTACTAGGGGTAGGTGGGCAGTTTCTCAGAAACCTAAATTGATCTGGATGGTGTTGGTGCCTGGTACCAGCATTAATCATTGACATAGTCATATCAACAAAATGCTTGGGATCAGAGACAGGTGGGCATCACCACAAACTTGTTGTTTTGAGTGAAATAACACCTTTAAAATGGATGACAAATAAAATACAGTGAGGTATGATCCAGGTACATTGTACTATAAGCTCAGTCCTCACTAGTGACGCAAGCACACACATAAGCATTGGCATAACCATATGGAGACAGCCCTGAATTAAGCACGAGCATAATATAAAGAAGAATGCCAGGTTTTGATGTTCTTGTGTTCATGCTTGTACGTACGTCAAGGCCATCATCACTAGCGCATACGCTTCTTATGCTTAAACTTATCCTTGCATCACTGGCTGAGGACCAAGTAATGCTTATGCCTATGCTTGCATCACCAGAGAGCACAAGGCTTTATAAAGCTCTACAAAAACCTACCAAATGTAATGTAATGTATCTTAAATGAAATTCACAAAGAAATTTTAAGCAATAATATCACAGGTAACTTAGGCAATACAAAGACCTGAATTAAAATAGACACTGTACGTTTTATTTTTTCTACCAATGGCTTACGACGTACAGAAATCCGAAACTACCACAAGCTTAAGTTTATGCATGCATCCACAGCGGGATGGTCACAGCGAGCGAACTGAACTGCTGATTGAACTGAATTTTTCTTATTATTTAACTGTTACTACAGCTTGAACGCTGTAAATGTAAAAGTAGTCACTGATTACGTAAAGGTCACCTATACACATATTACTAAGTCTTTCACAATACAAGTAATAAATCTCTACCACATTTTTGATCAGTCGACATCTCTGGATAGCTGCTGATAGCTGTGGCAACAGGGCACAAAGTTTCCCTAACATGTCAGTCCACAGCAACAATAAAAGGGAAAAAAAGATAATATAAACACCTACTTTCTTCCACCAACATTTAGGGTTATGATTTCGCCGAAGCTCATCTCCCGCAACGACGAGGATAATCAACTTGTCAAAACTTCCCCATTTTCTTCCACCTGTGTTCGTTTATATTGTTTTCAAGATGGCGGCTAATTTTATACAATAGAACACGTATTTTCATTGGTCAGTTTAATGGCCTCGATTTCAGGCGAATAAAATGACGTAGTTGACTATTTTGGAAGACGTATAAAAGGGGAGAGCGCGAGACGATGAACGTCATTTAAGTGTGTATTTTGAGTTTTGAAGTATTAGAGAAGTGAATGTTTTTTCAGTTCAGTGTTTTATTCATATAGGGGCTAGAAATTTTTCATTTAAGTCTGAACGTGATAAATAACTGGAGCGAGTAACGCGGTTTTCTTGATGCCAGATATATACCGTCGGATTGATTGATTGCTGCGTTTAATCGCGCTTGATCGCAATGCTATTACAAGACTGCGGTTTCTTTATTTCTCTCAGCTTTTATTCCAAATCCCTGATCTGAAAAATTTGAAATAAACGAAGGTCAAAAGTATTCCGTTTTCTGGAGAGGCCGGAGGGGGGAAATGCGATGCTCAGTCATCCTTAGCTTTTCACACACAGTAAAATAAAAAAGAGTGAGTGTAATCACATCGGATGAAATGTCTACAAATCATGAAGTGAAAAAGAATATTGCACTTTAAATAATTAATGCTTCAATTCTGGATCAAAAGTAATAAAAAACAAAGCCGGGGAGTGGTTTCACCTCGTGCATGTGCTTGAGTTAGTTTTTAACAACCTCTGACGGTACTTAATTTCCCGATTTTGGCGAGAGAGTATTTCGCGGGCTTTTACTTTCGCGATTTAAATTAGAAAATAAGAGAAAATACAAAATGGAGTCGTACCAGTAATATCAGCTAATAACGTGGCTATTGAATTTTCTACATGGTTAGTAAATTTCGCGAGGATTTTTAATCACGGATCTTTAATGTCGCGAGCTTTTTACACGTTCGAAATTAACAATAGCCGAAAATTAGTTAGTGGTACAGCAGTGGGAGGAAAGAAAGAAGCCCGTTGTATTTGGGGTTTGAGGAGCCTTCTGTCGAGAATCATAGTGGGAATATCGTATCTTGGTGGGAATCTAGGCGAGGCAGGTTTAATAAATATAAGCTTTTAAGAGACGCACTGACTCTGCCTTAGGCTCAGGTTTTAATCTTACATGTAAAACCTAACCATTAATCGATGTTTCCCAATTTTTCATATCTTTTGCGAATATCGCTGAATTTTGGTGGGAACCTAGGCGAGATTTGATAAATACAAGCTTTCAAGAGACGTATTGTGGTTGAAGCTTTTAATCTTAGATGTAAAACCTGACCATAATTGATGATTTCCAATCTTTCCCACTTTCAGTTACTCTACATTATAATATTGTTTCTAGCTTAGCGGAGCGACATGTTGTAATAGGCTCCAACTCACAAACGTCATTGCATTATATATGATCTATATATTTTATTCTGTTACCAGCAATGCTTTGTTAGCTCAACTTAGGAAGGACTGTTGACTGCTCACCACTTTAAACAAGCTATTTCAACACTAGAGAACATTTACAACGCCACTGCAAAAAGAACGAAAACACGGCTGGGCTTTTAGCTCCAGTTTTCTTGACAATGATAACCCAAAATCTAAGTACTTGACAGGCGCGTAGCCAGCCCAAAGACCTGTAGGCCCGGGCCTACAAATGTTTGGTTTGATCGCTCTAACGCTTGTAATAAATTATGCGCTGCTGGGGTGAGCTAAAAAGCGTAAGAGGTCAAAGCGTTGGTGAGGTCAGACTAGTCATGCATGTAGTTTTCAGGATATGTGGAAATAAAAGTCAGCCACGAAAAGCTGGCTACGCCCCCGCTTGAGGAACGAACAAGAACGTTTTTGAGGCCGCTTAACAACTGTGGTAAAACAAAAGCAGGTCTCGGGGCACTTCATCGCGTGTGCCTCATAAAACAATCTAGCCTCCTACCTAGACGAAAAAAAACGTCTGACAGTTCTTCAAATCCTTTTTACGTTAGTTCCTGGTTAGTTTCCTGTCGTATGAGCTTTCAGTACCTTATTATCTGTGCTGTACTGATTTCACAGATTCAGGTACTTTCTACACTCTTATTATATATGGGGTATACATGGCTGACTTCACAAGCGGGCGAGATGAGCTTATCTTGTCCGCTCGGGAGTACCTGCTTTGTCCCGCAAGAAAAGACTTTGTTTTAACAACATGATAAATTCTTTATTGACCAAGCTTGTTTGCTTAAGACGGCTGGGTATTAGCCTCGTTCTTTTTTACGTTTTTGTGGACCTTGAGGGAAAAACTTGGCCAATATCCAGCCATATTGCCCTCACCCGTGGTAAATAACCCTTGCTGTCTGCATGTCCACATTCGCGCAGTTTTAGACCCTCTCCCGAGTCCATCACTGCCGATTGAAACATGTTTAATCGTATTATAATTCTTGATTACGAACTAAGATTAATGATTTCTATAACTAAAAATAGCTTTCTCTAAGTTATGAACTTTCCTTGTGATTAAATATTTTAAAAATATCTGATAGTATCCCTTGTGCCTTCAACAGTCTAAGCCATTGATAAAGTAGACTGTTCAAAGTCCCTAAATTTCCGCTAGATCGTTGAGGTCGAGCGCTCATCTTCACTGACATTCTGACAACCATTTTGTAATAGGTTGCAAATGTTACGAGGGGGCGAACGTCGGGGTTTATAGCGGTGGGGGTACAAAGGACTCCTCAGGGCACCCTCCCAAACCGTCCCCCGCCCCCTATGTAGATGACGTCTACAGCGCTCGTTCTCGGCCATCTTTCGGAACAGTCTATCTATGAAGACATGCCATGCGATGCTCATTCGTTTTCTGAGTCGGTGGACAAAATCTTTATGTTTTGATCATTCAAATGAATGACCTCAGCAGCATTTTCACACGGTACTATTGATAATGCTATAAAACAGGTTGTAACTGTAAGTCTGTGGCTCCTATGGTGTGACTACTCAGTTGAACCTTTCAGCAGTACTTTCACGTGATGCTATTTATTTAGCGTACAGTTCTACCTTCTACGTTTATGAACGTTACCTCATGGTGTTACCAGTTAAAATAAGCCTCTTTAGCCGTTCTATTTGTTTTTCAATAGTTTTCTATAAAATCACATTTGAGATAAAGCTTGAATTCTGATTTCGGTCTTTATAAGGACAATTTCTATGCTACTTACAAAGTTTAACTACACTATATATGTATATAGACTAAACTATGAAACAGTTTTTAATGCTGTAAGATTCTGAGGTTTCCAGAGACGATCTTGTTTTCCAGCAAAGCACCTGAGGGAATATCGATCCTATCGCCATGATTAGCAATCACAATGACAGTGCCCTGAAGAAAAATAACAAAAAATCAAAATCATCGCTGAAAAACAGCAAACTACGCAGCCAGCATTGGCGCTATCAATTAGGAAATTCATTGCCATGTACATAAGGTATAAGAGAGACTGCTATCCATTTATCTGCATGCAAACTTTTCGCATTTAATTTTAAAGTATAGTCGCCATCTTGAAAGAACAGAAGACTTGGAAGACAAGAGAATTCGATCATTTAGGGTGGATAGCCAAGGCAAAATGTTTTACAATTTAAAATAATAACGCCACTGTCGACGAACTGAACACGTTAGAAAATTATATATCCGCTTTTTATAAAGTTCTTCGAGTCTGTTTGTCTTGCTATCTCTAGGTCACTTCAGACTGGGCATAGCCCGTCCCAGGCGTTTGGGTTTTTCCTGCTCACATCTCTTCGCGCAGCCACCACAATCTGAGCGCCTGGAACAGGCTAGACCGTACACCTCTTCTTCTGCCGTTATGTCCTACCAACACTAAGAAAGAGCTCACCTTCAGAGAGACTCCTTTGCCGAATGTGACGTCACCAGATACAGTCAGATGATCCAGTTCTAAGAGATCAGGAATGGTCTCAAAGCGCGCTAAGAAGTCCTTTACCTGTTGACCCACGCAAAAAAATAATAATAATAATAATAACGGTAAGGAAATTCAGGAAATTTCACAGCGGGTTTGTAATAGTAGAGGACAGTCCGGTAAGCTAAATTCGGATAACTCGAACGTCTCTGCTAACCCAAACAAAGCCCCACTTCCCTTGGATTTGACCCCTAGTTTCAGTTATTTTTATTCGGTTAACTCGAACTCAAATAACTCGAATTTCCCGCTAACTCGAACTAACTTTCGTTTTCCTTAGTCAAGATTTAGAGCTGTATTTACGCCAACAATTCGATTACTTGTTTATGGAGGGGCATCTTGCAACTTACCACAGATGCCATCCTATTAGCTCTTCTTGTCGTGTAATCGGTAAAAACACTAAAACTAACACTACAGCAATTTGATTTAACTAAGTCCATTGAACAGTGCTCATAAAGACTTGACCGCAACAGGAAACCGCACATAAAAACTCTCTGGCACCCAGGGTAATACGGGTCCTGAACGTTATCAATCTCGCTCCCAGAGACTGTGATCCTTTTGGTCAGCACCAAGGATCACACCAATCGTCCATAGCACGTTTCGCTGGATCAGGATAACGCAGGCTCTGGGGACGAGATTGGAACATTAGGCACCGTGAGGAATGTCCACGCACCTTTTTGAAGTGTGAGCCGCTGAGTTGTACTATGGGCACAGTTGGAAATTGTCTAAGATGACTCATCTCCAGTTGGCCGTGTTTCATTTCATACAAGTTTGACATGATAATCAACAGATCAGAACAGGTTTTGACCGGAAGGAAACGTCTTCGTGGTACGTTTATACCTGCAAGTGTGGTGTTCGAAGGGATTACGATATTTGCAGCTGAAGCGTGATTTGACAAAAAAAAAAACTTTGAACCATTCATGTAACTTGCATGACGTTGCTCATAACAATAATAATAATGATAATAATAATAATAATAATAATAATAATAATAATAATAATAATAATAACCATAATAATAATAATAACATTTTTTATAATAACTATAATTTTATTCAACTTTGAAAAAAAAATATGTACATAACTGGCAGAAATATTTGAACTAAGAATTTTAATTCTTAGTTCAACGATTTCGCAAATACATTCCTTGCGGCTCAGATGCGGTCAATAACTCTTGCAGGCAGTCCAGAGTTTTAAATTAAGTCATTACAAAAGAGAATTATCCGTCTCTGATATTAAAAAGAAAACAAGTTAAAAATGAAGATAACGATGATGATGATAAACGTAACAATTAATCAACAATTACACCATTAATATTGTCGCGGTTACTAACATTACATCATCATTATCATCATCACTAAAACAGTTTGCACGTGTTATCTTTTACCATGAGCTCCTTCAAAATTCTTCATGGCAGCTCCGACAGCTGTCTCCAGTTGAATGATGCGCATTCCGCTGTCAAGTGTCTACAAAAGCAACAAGAAAAACATAGAGGACTGTTACTGCAAGTACTTAACGATAACTAAAGGAAACAACAGGGGTTTGTGCAAAAAAGACAAAATATGGAAAAAATTAAGCCAGATATTTTTAAGTAAATAGCTCACTTAACCGACTGAAATGCAAGAAGTTTCCAAGAATAGTCGATCACAGTTGGGCAAGTCAAGTAAGCACACACACACACACACACAAAAGCTCTCTCCAGTCCTGCCGTACAGCTGTACCTTCAGATATCTGACTGGACAGAGACTGTTCACTGTCAATTCACAGACCAAACTAAGCCAGTTCTGTTGTTTTAGAGTCCCACTGGGGGGGGGGGGAACTCTCTATAATGGCCAATATGGTGAAGCACTAAGAGTGATCAGCATCAAATTTCTCCTTGTAATATCAATGCTTTGTAAAATAGAGTGGTCACGAGAATTTCGGACATGATCACACAAAATGAATTTGCTCGATATTAAATCAAATTCTTCCCACTACTTCTGTAAGAAATGAAAAGGGGAAACAGATGAGAATTTAAATTTTGATCTTAGTGTTTAAAGGGATAAGGGCTAACAGGCGTATTTTATGGCTGTGACAAACCCCAAAAAACTCTCTGGCTTAGTGATTTATTCATAATTAAAAGACAGTGCATTTGCAACAGTTAACCATTTAAGTTCCAATGTCCACTTATAAATTCTCCATACTGATCTTCATACATTTCTTTAAAGAATTATTTGAGAGAGTTTGATAACAGATCAAAGCATTTTCTCTTGAGTGATCATTTTATTAACTCTCATAACCATTTCTCTTGGCAACATATGGATATTGTTAGGAGAAAATTGATGACGGTCACTATTGGGACTTAAAGGGTTAAAGGGAATGCAGTGTTCTAAACTAATAATTTGAAAAGGGTACCATTTGTCAATGAGAGTTATACAAAAGGGTTAACCTTTTCTGTCATAAATGGTATATAAAAGGGTACGACGTTGGACCTCGGGGCAGGGACTCCCCGTATAAAATTTTGTTGAGTACCTCCCTGGGTCTTCTGCTCACCTTATTGTTAACAATAATCTCCATGTCCATTCTTCTCTCTTCCACGATTCTCTTGACGGCAGACAACTTCATCCATAAGTTGTTTGTATTAAATATCCTACAACAATATAATTCATGTTAGGGAACATTAAGAAAGCTTAAAAACACAAAATTTTCCTTTCATAACATACCTGAACTTATTGACTGACTTGAACTCATCAACCTAGAAAATAAGATAACTTCAATTTTTCGTTATATTTGGTGTGATAGTAATAGGGCCATTTATATGAGGAAAAAGAAGATACGTCTTACATAAGACGCGTCCTAAATGAGATGCAAACTATCCCGTATAAGCGGCACATTTCGTCTGAAATTTAGCAAAGACGCATCTTATCTAAGAACAGCACTTAACGCCTGTTCTTCGATAAGACGCATCTTAGCCAAGTCGCATCTTAATGTGCCGTTTATACGGGATAGTTTGCGTCTTACTTAGGACACATCTTGCGTAAGACGCGTCTTAGTTTTCCTCATATAAATGGTGCTAATGGCTTTTTTGACAAGCCAATCACGAATTCAAATCCTCATACACAGGTGGGCACCCAGAACAACGGTTTCAGGCCAGGGCTGTTTTGCAGATAATTTATACTTAAGCAGGAGTTTGGTTCCATCTGTGGCACAGGCTAACACTACTGGGAAAACAATGAAGAATTGAAAAAAAAAACCTAAAATAATGGAGGATTAAAAATACTCAAAGAATTTTCACTACAGTAGTCAAGCCAAACTTTAATTCAAAGCACCTGATAATGCCAGTAACACACAGTTCAACATTTTGTTTATCACAAAATGTTGGACAGTGCACCAGGCCATGTTGGATGTTAAACTTGTTTAATGACAGTACAGACAGGCTCCATTCTGTTCAAGAGGTTGTAACTTATGCTTAACAATGACAGTCAATCTCAGCCATTCACTGAGCAGCAATAACTCTTAATAGCCCACATTCGATATATTAAAATTCTAACATAACCGAGGCTTTATTTAGGGTCAAAATTGACCTTTTTTCATGACTCCATTGTCTTGCAATTCCCAGAAGAGACTTGAGCACAAAGAAAACCTCTAACTACTCAGCCACGCTGCCTCTTGTAGTACAGGTAATTTTTCATGTAAGTTCCTTAACCCTGCTAACTCACATGTTCCTTTGGAACTTGAGCAATCTCTAGCAGTCTTTGTTTGCCTTCATATTCTATGAGTGTTCCTCCCTGTGAAAATAAGAAACAGAACACAGCCTTCAACTCTGCCTACACTACTGCCTTCATTACTGTCAAACTCAGAAAACTGTGAACACCTGAAAAATTCCAGGAATGTTGATTGTGTACTGGCCAATCACAATAAAGTTCAGGATACACAAGAAAACCTCAAAACCACAAACTAATTACCGTTGCTGTTGGCGGTTTACTTATCTCGCACCTTAATGGCTTATTAATTGCAACACAATAACATTCCATAAATATTTCTAGTGTTCACAGTTTTGTGAGATTCACAGTATTTTGTGACTATAGCCAGGGCTTGAAAAAAGCCCTGTCCGGTAGTCCAGGACAAGTTGATTTCCTTGCTGGGCAACTGATTTTTAAAGCTTACATGTACTTTCCCTATGGGCAAGAGTTCAGGCAAGTCATCCTCAAACAAAATCATTAACCCTTTTTAATAAGATGCAAGAGTGACCAACATCAATTTTCTCCTAACAATATCCACACATAATTAAAAGAAAACTTTAGGAGAATGAATAAAATGATCACCTAAGGGAAAATGTTTTGATCTTTGAACAAATTCTCTGAACTAATTCTATAAGGAAATGTATGGAGATCAGCTTGAGAATTTGTATGCGGATCTTGGGGCTTAAAGGGTTAACCCAATATAAGACGAGCAAGAAGTGGTCGCAGAACAAGCAAAACGTCACTGAGAGCTGCCTGCCCAAAGGACAAGCTGGAATTGAAGCTTTATGGAGTCCTGCACTAAGCCCCTTGACTCCTGAAATTAGAGACCTAAGTTTAAATAAGATGCACGAAAAATTCTTAACATAAAATAATGTTGCTTTAAATGAATATACAGTGTACAAGCAAAGAGGTTTTTCATGTCAATGGTGACACCATAGGATTTCATCCAGAGTCCAGAATCCAATTAAAACCTGTTAATTTATACAAAACAAGACTAGTGTAGTGTAAGACTAGTGTAATTAGCACCATGTGAGGAAGTACCCCTAAAGAGGTTTCATTTAATTGGTCATTTAAAAAATAAGGATGATCCATATTTATTAATCATAATGTTATGCAATGTACCTTAACATCTGCCCTTGTTTTGTCAGTAACTTCCATAATAAATTCTGGTGAGGGTGACTTTGAAGGGTTATTCATGTAATTTAAAATATCTGAGCTGAGTTAAGGAGGATTTTCAATTTACCGTGTGGTGCTGGAAATGTTCCAAACCACCAACCCATCTTTTTGTGAATAGTTGTTTTATGAATGGGTCAGACGAATTGCAATGCCTGGCCCTCCCATGGGTTAATCTCCCATGTATCCCCACAAAAAAAATCATTACTGAAACCAGACACACTTTTCAAGATACCAGGTGGAGAAGTGTGGAGGCCTCATGCAGAAGGGAGTCGAGGAGGCAAGGTAGGAGGTAGTATTAAAGGGAACCTCCACTTCAACAAAAAGATAACTTTAAATCACAAGAAATAACTGTTACAGTCAAGTCAATCTAAAATATTTTTAAAGAAAGCCTTTGTATCCAAAAGAAATAACTTTTAGATCCGCCTATTTTTGTTTTCAAATTTTGCGAGCGTCGCCATCTTGAATAATTGTGACGTGTAATGGTTGCCCTATTGTTATTAAACAAAAGCTCTTTGTGTCAGAACAATAGAGCAACCGTAACACGTCACAATTATTCAAGATGGCGGCGCCCGCGAAATTTGAAAGTGAAAATAAGCGATTTTAAAATTCACTTTTCCTGATATAAACACTTTTTTTAAGACAAATTTCGAACAAATTTGTTTATCAACATAATTTTACTCAATTTAAACTTATTCTGTAGTAAGAGTGGAGGTTCCCTTTAAAACAATCATTAATTACTATTATTGAAGTCTTTTTTGTTTTTTGTTTTTTACAAGCTTTTCTGGACACAGGCCTGCCCAGAGGGAATAGGCATGAACGGGACTCATAGGTCCCAGGCAAGGTGCCATCCCTACCCAATCCCACAACCCATAAAGGTTGGCCACACCACCCGGGTCTACGTCCCGTACTCTTTTCAAACAGTAGCGTGGGCTTTTTTGGAATAAGGAGTCAGGTGCTTTCAGATAAAATTAATGTTAAATTGTCCATCCAATTTGTCTTGAACATATATATTTCAATCAATCAATCATTTTTTTACGTAGTGTCTAGAGAGCTAAAAAGCTTGTTCAAAATACGTTCGTAAACACACGTACTTGTAAATTTAAAAAGGAGAAAAAGATCAGAAAGGGCATCACTTGGGGACTTTTCTACAAAAAATACACCAAAAGCATCCCCTATTATATATGCTGTATAATATAGACAAATGACAGGAGCAGCTTTCATAATGAGATTAACCATTTTAAAAGTTGACTAAATGTACTAAAAGGATATTAACATCCACAGTAGCTCCCAGGTTGTCAATATTTGAAACAAACATGTATTCTTTGCCCTCATCAAGGAACTTGTTAAGGAGACCAGAGTTGTAAAAGGAGCGATAAATATCCCCGTGACCTGGTGGATTCCAGCTGCAAGATAAAGAAAAGAAATCATAAGTTAGGCAATTGTTGTTTAATAAAATGTTATTGAACCGTAGCAGGACTAGCTAAAAGGCTGTTTATATGATACCAGAAATGACTTTCATTAACCCTTTATGCGCCAAGGGTGAAAAATGCCAATTTTCTCCTAAAATATCAGTACATAATCAAGAGAAGAGATTGAGGTCAAAAGAGTTTTTGAAAAAAGAGAAAAATAAGGAGATTGACAATCTGGAGAATATGTACGGTTGTGCCAGACATTCAGTACATGAGACTTACTGTTCCACATTAAATCCATGTTCCTTTCCCATTACACTTGGCAACGGAAGCAAAGATTCCTTCACAATACGAGGATGACAGCTCTGGTTAAAGCAGTGAATCTTTACATTGCATGCGTTGTACTTTCTAAGGGTTTTCTGTGTTTCATCGTGTGTGTTAAACGAGTTCATAAGAACAAGAGGAACAGAACATCCATATGTATTATTCAAATGCTGTGGAGAAAAAACGAAGTTTTTCAGCAAACATGTTCATGTAACTGAGATGAGCCACAGGTCACCCAGATGGCTATGTTACAGGTCAAATTTGATTTCAGGTTCAATTTTTTTAACCTGGGTTGATTCTCAAGTTCCTTTGTTTCCTAGCCCTAATTCATGAATAATTAGGGCTAGGAGACAAAGGAAATGGAGAATCAAACTAGGTTAAATCAAAATTAACCTGATATCAAATTTGACCTGTAATGGCTACATTTTGTGCATCACTCCTGGAAACTCATCATATGTGCATCCACGTCCCAGGACTCCTTTAGGGTTTATCATTCAAAATATAATAACAGGTCTGTGCTTTAGCAGAACCTGGTTGCCCCTGGCACCCAACTTTTACCCTCGGGCGACCAGAAAATCTTAGTTTTTTCATACAAATCATTTACTGGGTATCCTGGATTTTACAGGTTCAGAGCACTGGGCTCCCTTCAATTTTCCTTAGAGCACAGCCTTGTTCCTCACTTAAGGCCAACTTTTACAAAATTTTACGTACAGTGTGAAGCCTTTCAACACTACACCCCAATTTACTAGTGCAAACAAAAAGTGCCTGTAACATGACACGCTGGGAAATCCAGGCAAACAAAACAGCTCTCTTTTTTTAGGGAATTACTGAGCTTTACTTTCAATATATGGGAAACTGATTTATGCAAGTGAAAGCACTTGCTTTGAAAACAAAACAGTAGCCTGTTTCAGTGATCTGAAAGATGAAGAAAGTTTTGTAAGACAAACAAGAGGACTTTTCTCTGTTTATCTGTGATCATGTGCAAGAAAGTTGTCTGGAACAAAAAGTAGCCACAGCGCGTAAAATGAAATCGCAACGAGACAACCTCCCTCGACCAAATTGCAACAGTGATGGCAAAGCCGACAATAAACGACAAGCATTTATAAACACTGACACAAGACATTTTAAAATTCACACGGGCGACATGGGACCCCCCTTGGCATGGCCTCAAGTATGGTGCAGAAAATTTGCAGTTGATTTAAACTTGCTTTAGCATGTAGGTCTCTTTATCTCATCTTCTCTGACGTGCTTTTTAAAACTCACCTCAATCTGTTGTACGTTCATGTCCAGGAAAGTCAAATCCCGACGTAACGAAATGAGACTCTTGGGGCCAGTGCAGCCCATACTTGTCCCCAGACCTCCATTCAGCTTAATGACAACCAATTTGTTAAGCACACTTTTTATATCGCTCTCTGTAGCAACTGGAATCTCATTGTATTTTAAAATCTAAATTCAAAAATCATACACTCTCATTAGTAAATCATACAATAGCAATTTTCATTCACATTACCGTTGAGTAAGCAGCCAAACTATTATTCCATTATGATCTAAAACAGAAGTTTTTAAACTGTTCAATAAACTCATAGTTCAGCTTACACAATTAGCAGCAAATGTTCCAAGCAAACTATTAAATTATATAGAGGAAATTATCAAGAACAGACTGAAGAAAACTATAACAGATGCATGGGTCACAGGCACAATGCATCATTATACAATTCTCAAAAACTGCCCACCTACCCCTCCCTTAAGCCAACATTTTGCCCTAAGTGAAAAGTAAGTGTTAATGTTGGCTTAAGGGAGGGGTAGGTGGGCATTTTCCCAGAAACGTATTATGATCCCGCACAATCAAAATAGATTGATTATAGTTGTTGTTGTTTGTTGTTGGCACAACATTTAAACCAAGTCTACTTCTAACCAATCTAAATATTATATTATCATTTTTATAAGGATTTCTTACAGATCCTTCTGGTGGTGGCTTGATTTTCTCCCATTCTACAGATGGTCCTGTGTCCTCAAGAAACCTTGCAAACAATTCTTTAAAGCTTTTCACATGTAACTTTGCTTCCTGTAAAACAATGTAAACACCTTGTATTAAAACTCTATCATGGTGTTTTATGACAGTTGTAAAATGCAAAATAAGAGGTAACTAGTTTTTAACTTTGTTACTTTATTCATTGATTAAAAATGTTGACTCTTCAAAAAGATTTAATTTATTTATTCATTTAGTTAATTAATTAATGAGGGCTCCCACTATGACAAAATAAGCTCCTTCTTTAATAAATATTATTATCACTATTGATTATTATTGTTGTTGTTATTGTTGTTGTTATTGTTATTATTATTATTATTATTATTATTATTATTCTATGCCTACATAATATTTCCTAATCATTTCAAGGTTTACAGTTATATCCCTATCTCCATGCATATGGTCGACCCTTTTGTCAGAAAAAAAAACTCACCAAGTGCTTCATAAGCCCTGTTACTAGGCAGCAGTACATATACAGAACTTTTACTGTAAAAAGATTTTCAGCTTCAATTTAAAAATAGCTAAAATGTGGGTTTCTGTCAGATCATTTTGAAGAGTGTTCCAGTTGATATATCCCAATATGCCCTGAGGTTTCTTCAACACATGTATATGAAAGAGCTGAGTAAACTGTAAACCTGACAAAAGGTAAAGTCAGCTTGAATGCACCATGCATGTATCCAGTAAAATTTAATTTCAGACTCCTGCAACAACATATACCTCAAAACCCTGGCCAAGAGATATTGTGCATTCTTCTTCTGCTATGTCTTTGCACACACAAAGGTGATGCAAAATTCTAACGATTTGAGGCTATACTAGGGTGAATCTTCACTGACGTCAATTTGTTTACATTTTTTCCTCACTTGAGTACACATTAACTCATAGAAGCCGTGGCCGTATATATGAACAAAATTCCAAAGTTGAAAGATTAACTTGAGCTATTTGAGCAATTTTCAGCTCTTTGCAAGAAATATTGAAGGAAACATCAGCCATAGAAAACTGTGTGATATCTGGGTAGCAAAAAAGTTATAATGAGCCACACATTCTTTGTACAATTTCGAGTTTTTAAAAGAGAATTTCTCCAAAACCATTCAGTATATCAGGCTCAAAATTTCAGAGATAAATGAAATTGTTATGCTCTTTCAATATTCAGATGTTTTATTTTATTAGCTTCATCAGGTAATATAATGATGAGCATATGTTAACGAGGCAAAAAATACAAAGATTCGCCCATACATAAAGGCAATTTCACCCAACAAAATCAGCTAGAGCAGCTGATGCTGCCGATGACACTTTAGTGTAACTTTACTGACAATTATTGTTTGTTTAGAATACAACTCAAGTTTGAAGTGCAGGGTAATCCGACATGCAAGGCCCTGAGTGAACCTTCTGAAATTCCCTTCCAGTCAGAAGTACAAGAGCATCCTAGAATAATATTAAGACCCTATTTTCCTTAAAATCACAAATTATATTACAATACTTTTTTAACCACTTGGCAAATCATGATCATATTAATAATTACCATAATGCTAAACTGCAGAAAAAAGGCTGATATATGACTTTTTATTGGTTAATAACCGGTTATCATATAAAGAACGCATGGCAATATTTAAGTTTTGAAGAAGTGTTTTGGATACATCAGTATCCAGCATCAGTTTAAGGATATTATAAACAATTTGTGACCATATATACAGTTAGATGCCATATTTGTTCAGCTACAAGCAAGGCGATTTTTACACAAATTAAAGCTAAAGTTCAGTGAAATTTGAGCCCAAGAGGGGGTCTTGGCTTGTAGCTAAGAGTTTTTGAAAAAAAATCTTTTTCAGCGCATTGAAACTCTGCTAAGGGAAAGTTCATTTAATATGACAAAGGGGGGGGGGATGAAGATATTGAAACTCGAAGCTTGAAATTTTAGCAGCCCCCCTCGCTAGCAGTTCAATTTTTTAGGAGCCCCCTCCTTGGTAGTCGAAAAAATTTCAGAGCCCCCCCCCCTCCTCCTTCAATTCCTTTGCTTCCCTGAAAAAAGATCGCTAGACTGTATTAAATATATTTACCGTTATTGCCTTCAATGGTTTATACTATGACAAACTTGAGATACAGTTGTGATACAATTTTCTAAAGCATTTTTGGGATGAACAAGAGTGTAATAATTACTGAGACTACATTTGTTATAATCTGTAAACCACGTGATATAGCTGAGTTGCACAGGTCATTAAATTGTTGAGTTGAAAACCATCTGATCTGTATGATGATGTCATGTGTTGGTTTTGAAGTATACAAATTTTCGGAGCCCACCCTCCTAGCGCAACAATTTTTTCAGAGCCCCCCCTTCGGGTGTCTAAAAATTTTCGGAGCCCCCCCTCAATATCTTCATCCCCCCCCTTGTCATATTAAATGAACTTTCCCTAAATAGGGATGTTTTCACTGATGAGCCAAGCAAATAGCATCAACAAAAGATTGAATTGATCATGTTACTACAAACCTGAATGAAATTAGCTAAGCACAGATATCAGTCCCAAAATGTCAAGATATCTGACAAAAATATCTGGGTCGACCCCAAAAAAATTTAGCAGGGTTTGTATGGAGTTTTCTAAGCACAACTGGGCTACGATCTCAGAGACAATTTGCCCCGAAACGCTCATTTTTGGCAAGTAGGCCTCTTAAATATTGTTCTTTCAGAATATCCTGACAAATCCCATAATTTCAGAAATTTCGTTTTTATGACGTCATCAATTAGTACTCTATTTTGAGTTTCAATCCTGAGCTTGGGCTGCCTGTGCTCAGCATCACGCAAGGGACCTTGTATTTTACTGCAATACTTAGAAGAAGTGTTATAATAAAACAAGGCAAAGCCACAAAAGGCCACCAAGAGCTGCATTAAATCAAAAGGATTCTCTTGATCTAAAAAAAAACTTGAACGCACGTAATGTATGAAAAAAAGCTGTCGATTTCGGCCGTTCAGGATGTCCCGATCCCAGTAGTTCTCTTGAAGTTTAATATTCAAGCAATCCATGCAATGTAATGTTATCTTACCGCTTGCCTTTCTTCTGGCGCTGTGGCAAGTAAAAGCTTCAGCTCGTTATCCATGCGCTCAAAAGCATCTCTGCGAGAAAGCGTTTTGAACTCGATAACTGGATCCGCCTACACAACACAACAAACCACACACAATCCAATACTTAATCGCACTGAGAGAAACACCACATTAAACTCAATCGCGTTTTAAAGCTTACCATAGTATTCTTGTGATGTAGCAGCGCTAAGGGATGGACGAAAAAGACTCACAAATATGAAATATTTATCTTCGATTTTGCACAGTCAAGATCAAGTCGAGTGGAGAGTACACGCAGTGCACTCTTACCCAGTCCCCGGCGTGAATACAAACAAGTCAAAAACTTGTCAAAAAATCACAAAAACACGCTACTCAGCGCCACGGAAAAGCTTCCTCTCAGGCAAAAAACACGCCAGTTGTACCCAGAGTGTTTTAAAAGAATTTCTATTAAAACTTTTACAGGCGGCTCACTAGTTCCTCATTTGTGGCAAATATTTTCGCAGCGCCGGGCCGCAGTCTTCCCCTTTCCTGGCGGGGTTAGCATGCTCGAGATAATTGCAGGTTTAATACCCGTTAGGCTGGCTGGTGATAATGGAAAGCCAATACATGTATTTTTATCCAATAGGTTTCACTCAAGGCCGTGCGTGAGAAAATTATTGGTATCTTTTTTCTAGCTAGGGCTAAGGGTGAAGGGTTTCTTTCCAAGATCCGGGAGCGCTGAACGGAAATTTGGGAAGAGGAGTGTAGCCAAGACCCTCATATATAAAACATCAGCAAGTCCACAGCAACATGCCGGATCTCCCAGTTGCAGACCTTGATCAGTACAATGAAACTTGTACAAAAATATGAAACGGCAAACTGATCCTTGCGGCAAGGCGAGAAAGAAGTAAACAAAGGAATAAACAAAAAAGATATATTTACACAAATTGCCCAATATTTCGGTTTGAAAACAAACCTTCTTCAGGGACTAAAAGAAAAATGAAAATTTTCCTACAAGACCCTCATAACCTGAACTTTATAGTGTAAGACAAAAACCGTTCATAATCGCCACCCTGTCTGGCGGGAAAAGCCCTGGGGAAAGGCCTCGGCGGCTCTCTTCTCCCTGCGTGGAGGCCTCTTTAATCCCCCTAACCTGCAAGCAAGAGTCTCTAGGGGTTCCCTGATTTTTTGCCTTTCTAAAACACACTCTTCCCGCGAACGGCTTAGATCCTTCTCATTTCTCCCCACACAACCTTCTCACTCGCTTTCACATGTCGCGTTCCTTCCGAGCTGATACACGCCAAACATCTGTCGCTGTGGTTAGCGTGAGTAGGAATTTACCCACTCATTTGTCATTCTTGTACAGCT